TCGTCGGCCCTCGGTCATCTCCAAAATGGAACGCAAACTTTCCCCGACCTCTTGCGCGCGAGCATGGCAGCATAGGTGCCTTGAGGTTACTTGACCACTTGGCGCCAGCTTCTTCCCACATGGCGTGTGCTAGGTCATTGGGGAGGAAGCTCAGCGTCGCGCCGCTGTCGAGCACTGCGCGGATCGAGCACTCGTGACAGGGCAGCGACAAGTCATGATTCCCACGCCCTACACTGATACCAGCCATGGCAACTCCGAAGTAGTCGTATTTTCCCAGGTGGTTCTTCAGCACCGGCACCACTTTGAGGTTCCCAACGTACTTTTCAGTGTCAATGCCGCCAAACAAGAGACTACCGCCTGCGGCGTCTTGAAGGTAAGTCAGCTCGGGTCGGCTTCATGAATTGCTGTAGGGGATACGCAGCTCACCCAGGTTATTGAGCCAGAGACTGTAGGCCACCGTTTTGATGAGTCCTAACCTCTGCATGCGTACGGGCAAGTTGTCGTAAATGTTTCCCCAGGTCTGCAATGCGACATTATGGTGGTATCCGATGCCGGCAAGTCCATATGGCACGGTTGACTGTCTGGCAAGGCCCATGCCCAGACTTGAGACCCTGGTACCACCGATCTCGACAGTGTCCTCGAAGTAGTCACCCGAAGCCGAGCTTTGGTCGAGGTACGCGATCTTGAACTTATCCGGTGCGGCAAGGCGATATGTGAGTGACTTGAGCGGATTATCTGGCCACATGGCGTCAGTGATGCTATCACATCAAGCTCTAGGGCGCCGCACTTACAAGTCCCGAGCTTGCAGTTGCTCGCTCCTTTTACTCGACAAATTTTGGCTGACGTGTAAGGCACCCAAAGGTCGGCGCTCCCAGTATCCAGATGCAGTGACAGTTCCTGGCCCGGCGTTCCTATCTTGACCTTTGTGAAGTAGCCAATGTGGCCGTTGGTCACACTGCTTTCGATGGTTGGATTATATCGACGTTGTAAGCTAGGCTCGTAATCGACTACCTTCCTTTCAATATCCAAGTACACGACTCCGTCCTGTGCACCGGCTAGCATAACCTGGCACAGGATGAGGGTGAGGGCTTTCTGCATTGCAGGACGGTTTGACGTGGAGAGACTCAAGCACTGGCCACAAAGGAGAGGTTGCCGATCTTCGGTCACACAACCTGCGAGAGGAAGAATCACTTCGGCCTGCCGTCAATATATGGGACAATGTCATGGATCAGACATGTCATGAATACTCCATTTCATGAACACTCCATCTTGTCGGGTAGCGCTCATATTGGCCTACTGCCTTGACGCATCGATTGATCAACGAAGCCACCGCGGCGCCCAAGGCTGGCTGGGCTGGTTGGTGATGACTGTGGCTTGCGGGCTTGGAAGAATTGTACATCAAGGCAAATGATTACGAACAATGGTGCGTGTGCGATGTAGTAGCAGCCCGTGGGTCACATTGTCTGCTCAGCCTCCGAATTGGGATAATCGCCAGAGCAAGGCCCAACTGAAAGATATTGTTTCGAGACCATTTCAAACTACCTGAAAATGCTTGCTTGAGGGACATGGCTTCCTGTGGCGGGGCTGGAAGAGGCTGATGTAGCTGCAGAGCTTCTGCAAATGTCGGAACAAAACCATCTCTCATCTCCTAGAATGACACATGCTCCCGACCGTAGTATACGGCGTTGCTTGCTCCAAGGCTTCCCTTCAAGGTTTCGGCAACGAGAGACGTTCATGCGGTGCACTTCTTATGCATATTCGAGACGGAGGGTCCACGTACTCAAAGCCACCAAGTGGCTTGCTTGCAGAGCACTGATACAACAAACTCAGCTGTGAATCTGAGGAGCAGGTGAGAGTATGTTACATGGGTGGGCGAAAGAAGGCACACGTCGGAAGCTGCTTGACTCAAATCTGAGGCGGGCCGAGCCTTAGTCAGGAACATGGAAGACACGAACCCACGTGACTGCGCGGCTCCTCCAATCAACCGTCAGCTAAAAAAGTTTCCCTCCATGTGCTATCGCATCGCTTCATCAGTCTATTTCGATGGCCCTGGTCAATCTGTAACGAGTTTCCTTCTCGTCCATTTTCCCTTCCCATAATCCCCCCCATTGGCCACGATGAGGGCTTCAAGGGCTCTCAGAGTGCCGAATGGCGGCCTTTTCGTGGGCGCAACGTCTCAGGCCCGAGGAGCGCGATGCTTCAGCATTGCCTTCAACACCAGATCCACCCCTTCAGGGGCTGTCTGCCAGATCGAGGCCAGGCGGACCTTCACCCAGACGACGAGGTTCCGATCCAGCGAGGCCGCCCAGGAGGCCCTCAAGATGGCCCAGAATAACTCTGACGCCCTCACGCCCGACGCTGTCCTCGCGCGTATGTCCCCCGAAGAAGCCCATCGACTTTCCCGAGTACGAAACATTGGCATCGCGGCCCACATCGACAGCGGAAAGACAACATGCACAGAGCGTGTGCTCTTCTACACTGGTCGCATCAACTCGATTCACGAAGTCCGTGGCAAGGATGGTGCCGGCGCCAAGATGGACTCTATGGACCTCGAGCGAGAGAAGGGCATCACCATTCAGTCGGCTGCTACCTTTGCCGACTGGAAGAAGGTGGAGAATGGAAAAGAAGAAACGTATCATGTCAACATCATCGACACTCCCGGACATATCGACTTCACCATTGAGGTCGAGCGCGCTCTGCGCGTTCTTGATGGTGCCGTCATGATCCTGTGTGCCGTCAGTGGTGTGCAGAGTCAGACCATCACCGTGGATCGACAAATGAAGCGCTACGACATTCCCCGTCTCAGCTTCGTGAACAAGATGGACCGTGTGGGCTCCAACCCCTGGAAAGCCGTCGAACAGATCAACAAGAAGCTCAAGATTCCCGCTGCTGCCATTCAGGTGCCCATCGGACTGGAAGACGAGCACGAGGGTGTCATTGACATTGTCGACATGCAGGCCATCTACTTTGAGGGTGCCCGTGGCCTCGACGTCAAGCGCACCGACGTGATCCCTCCCCAGCTCAAGCAACAGGTCGAGGAGAAGCGCCAGGAGCTCATCGAGAAGCTGGCTGACGTCGACGACGAGATTGCCGAGATCTTCCTTGAAGAGCAGGTCCCCACGACTGCGCAGATCAAGGCCGCCATCCGCCGTGCCACCATCGCCCTCAAGTTCACGCCTGTCCTCATGGGATCTGCTCTCGCTAACAAGGGTATCCAGCCCGTGCTGGATGCTGTCTGCGACTACCTGCCCAACCCCGGTGAAATCACCAACAAGGCCCTCGACAAGTCCAAGGACGAGAAGGAGGTCAAGCTGGTGCCCTACAACTCGCTTCCCTTTGTCGGCCTCGCCTTCAAGCTCGAGGAGAACAATTACGGCCAGCTGACCTACATCCGCGTCTACCAAGGCAAGCTCAAGAAGGGTTCCTACCTGTTCAACTCTCGCACCGACAAAAAGGTCCGCATCCCCCGTATCGTGCGCATGCACTCCAACGAGATGGAGGACGTCAACGAGATTGGTGCCGGTGAAATCTGCGCCGTTTTCGGCGTTGACTGTGCTTCCGGTGACACATTTACCGACGGTGGCCTCCCCTACACCATGACGTCCATGTTCGTGCCCGACGCCGTCATGTCGCTGTCGATCAAGCCCAAGCGCAGCGCCGATGCCGACAACTTCAGCAAGGCCATGAACCGTTTCCAGCGCGAGGACCCCACGTTCCGTCTCCATGTTGACGAGGAGAGTGAGGAAACCATTATTTCCGGCATGGGCGAACTGCATCTCGAGATTTACGTCGAGCGTCTCCGCCGTGAGTACAAGTGCGACTGCGTCACGGGCCAGCCCCGTGTCGCCTACCGCGAGACCGTCTCCCGCCACGTCGACTACGACTACCTCTTCAAGCGCCAGTCCGGTGGTCCCGGTGACTACGCTCGTGTTGCCGGTTTCCTCGAGCCCCACACGGACCCCGAGGCCAACCTGTTCGAGGAGAAGGTTGTCGGCGGTACCATCCCCGACAAGTACCTCTCCGCATGCGCCAAGGGTTTCGAGGAGTCGGTCACGCGCGGCCCCCTGCTGGGCCACAGGGTCATCGGCACGCACATGGTTGTCAACGACGGCTCCACGCACGTTACCGATTCGTCCGACCACGCCTTCAACCTCGCCACGCAGATGGCGTTCAAGAAGGCCTTTATCGACGCCGGCGGCCAGGTGCTCGAGCCCCTCATGAAGACGACCATTACGGCGCCCAACGAGTTCCAGGGCAGCATCCTCATGCTCATGAACAAGCGCAGCGCCACCATCATCGACACGGAGATTGGCACCGAAGACTTCACCCTCATCTGCGACTGCTCGCTCAACTCCATGTTCGGCTTCAGCTCGCAGCTGCGCGCCGCCACGCAGGGCAAGGGCGAGTTCGGCATGGAATTCAGCCACTATGCCCCCGCGCCACCCCACCTGCAGTACGTTTTCTTCCCCTCGTCTTGCTGGTATGATTTGTTCAAGTGCTGACCACGTCGTGCGTGTAGGAAGGAGCTCATCGCCAAGTACGAGAAGGAGCTAGATGCAAAGCGGACGAAATAAGCCATTGCACGACGTTGAACGGGCTTTCGGCAGCATGAAAGAGATGCTGCCTAATGTCCCCTGGACCATGTATCATACATAATGTCTGGGCGGGCCAGAGAGGGCAGCCTGGAGCAAAAAAGGGAGAGGGAGAGGACCCTCTCGAGCCGTGTAAACTGTACCATATTGTCTCGAAAAGTGGGATAGGCTGTGCTGCCTAGGTCCCTGGGAGGGACTAGCAGGATGTTTGCACGATAGAATACCTAGACTTTGTATTGAATGAACCACCTCACTTTTTTCTTCGCGCAATCACCGACATGTCTGCGGAGACACATTCTACAGACTGGTTGTCATTACAAGAAGAGCGTAGGGGGTGATAAAAAAAACGTTGCCTCTTTTATTCAGCCAAACACCATTCTAGCAATCTATCAACAGCATGTTGCACATCTACAGCCTCCTCAGGATATCCTCGATGACCTCGGTCGTCTTGGCCGTGCCGCCCAGGTCCGGGCTCAGCAGCTTGCCCTCGGTCAGGTTGGCGTCGACGGCGGCGTAGATTTTGGCGGCGGCGGCCTCCTCGTCGAGGAACTCGAGCATGAGGGCGGCGCTGCGCAGGGTGGCGATGGGGTTGGCAATGTTCTGGCCCATAATGTCGGGGGCGCTGCCGTGGCAGGGCTCGCCGATGGCGAAGCCCTCGCCGACGTTGGCGCTGGGGACGAGGCCGAGGGAGCCGACGAGGGCGGCGGCGCCGTCGGAGAGAATGTCGCCGTAGAGGTTGGGGGCGACGATGACGTCGTAGGCCTCGGGCTGGCGGAAGAGCTTGTAGACCATGCTGTCGACGATCTGCTCCTCGACGGCGACGGCGTCGGCGAAGCGCGGGGCGGCGAGGGCGGCGCGCGACGTGGCGCGGAAGAGGCCGTCGGTCTGGGACAGGACGTTGGACTTGTGGGTGATGGTGACGAGGGGGCTCTGGTGGATGGAGGGGGCGCCGGCGGCGCGGATCTTTTGGCGGCGCAGGGCAATGTCGCCGGCCATGGTGGCGATGCGGTGCGAGGCGCGCTCGGAGATGCGCTTGATGGCCTCGGCGACCTTGCCGTCGGGGGTGTCGCGGGTCGTCTCCTCCTTGACGTAGAGGTCCTCGGTGTTCTCGCGGACAATGACCATGTCGATGGGCTTGGCGGCCGAGAGGACCGTCTTGACGGGGCGGACGTTGGCGTAGAGGTCGAGCTTCTTGCGCAGGGCGACAATGGGCGACGAGTAGCCCTTGACGGGAGACGAGGGGGAGGAGACGGCGCCGAAGAGGGCACCGTCGCACTCGTTGCGCAGAATCTCGACCGTCTTGTCGGGGAGGGCGGCGCCGGTGCGCTCAAACGTCTCGAAGCCGGCGTGGAGGTCGGTGAACTCGAACTTGAGGCCGAGGTAGGAGGGGAGGGCCTCGAGGATGCGGCGGCCGGCGGGGATGACCTCCTTGCCGATGCCGTCACCGGGGATGAGGCCTGTGTGGTGAGCTCACGACGGCCATTGGAGGCGAGGACGAGGAGGCTTACCGATCCTGAGCGTGCGAATGGACATTGTGCAAGCGATTGACCTGGTGGCTAGACTGTGGGTAGTGGTGTTGACAGTCGCGTGGTGGGTTGAGTGTGAGGGTGGTGGGATGGGCAGGAAGCTCGTGGGGAAAATTTAGTAGAGCACGCCAATGTCACTGACGTTTGCCCCGGCGTGATATCGGAGGCCGAACGTCTCAACCGAGACGTTTTAAGGACAGGGAATGCCGGCACGCCCCCCGGTTCTTCCTGGGAGCGGTTGCTGCCGCGATCGAACGGGGGTATCCTGACAACGACTGAAGAGCTGGAGAGCAGTGAAGAGGTGTTTTGAGCCTGTACTGGGTCTTCTGCCCAAGACTTCTTTTTTTCCCATCAAGCTCATCTTGCACGAAAACCCGAGGTGGGATGCATCAAGCTTCAAGCTGGCAGCTGGAGGGGTACTGGCTCCCAGCTGGCAGTTGACGCCGCGACCGGCTGGCCAGTGGGAAGGTCCGCTGACAGCAAACCCAGTGCCCTGACCACCGCCGATCGAGCCCCCGATCCAATGGATGGCAGAGCGAAGCGCGTACACCAGGAGAGAGACCCAAGAGACCCTTGGAACCCCACATGATGCTAGCAGGTTTAGCGTGGCAGGCCCCCAAGGCCCCAAGGCCAAGGGGAGAGCTTCCCACGGGTTTCTGCCAGTTGGCGTTGGGGCATTGGGCCACGCCTAGAACCCCCCGCCTAGGTACCTCTGAAGTGCCTCGGGAGGGACCCAAGTATTGGATGCAGGTCCCCCCTCCCTCATCAATATGAAGCTCCCTCTGGCTCAATCTGGAATGAAAAGGGGGCCAAGGGGGCCGGTATATTCATATGACAAACATACATGTACGGCATAAACTGGACCGAGGATAAACGGTGCCTCTGGTCTGGTGCATGCACCACCGGCACAGCACCACTGCATTCTCTCGAATGCTTCTGGAAGCCGCCTCGACTTGACACCGGCCTTTCGTATAATGCAGGGGAGTCGCCGACAGCGTGAAACAAGTGCTGCATCACAACGTGCCGTGGACGGACCCTTGGTACTCGCCCTTTGAACATAAAGGGAGGGGTCAAGGGGCACCGCTACTGTCGCTGCAGACAGCACCAGTGTCGAGAACTGTGCCTGTGCATCTGGCCCCGCGAACGTGTCAAGTTGGCCGTACCGAGATCCATCAACCCCCCAAATACAACCAAGCAATGCAGCGCACGTCGACCTGATGCTCTACCTGTTGGTACCTGGCAGGTACATGTACGTGCCTGCATCTACATGTACCTTGTAGTGCAGACTGGTGCGGTGAGGCAACGGTGCCTGTGCAGGAAGGTGGGCTTTTTCTTCCCCTGGGATAGGGTGTCTGTAATTAAACAACCCGAATGCCTGTCTGCCTACCTTACCTTACCTAGGTACAGGGCCAGCCAGCCCACTAATTAAGGCAAGGTACATGTACCTCACGTACAGGAGACAGGAGCTGCCTCTCGTCTCGTCTCGCCCCGACTTTTGACCACCACCACCTCTGCAGTCACCCATCGCAACCCGGATTGTCTCAAACTGTCCTCAAGCATCATCCAGCATTCAGCGTTGCCTCTTTTTTTGACCTCCCTCTCTGCATTGCCGCTTCGTCTGTTTGTCGCTCGTTGTTGTCCTGGAGCTGCAACACCCATCCCGTTGCCCCCCCCTTTTTTTCTTGTCACTCGGCAAAGCTCCGTTCGACCTGAGCCTGATCGCTTAGCCTCCCACGCCCCCCCAGCTGAGCTACCCAGGTAGCAACCAGACAGAATCGAACGACGAGACACAACAGTGCCGGCTACGAGAAGAACAAATTCAACGCACTGCCTCGACTGCGACATGCGAATTTTCTGATTCTTGGCTTTCACCAGTCACAACTCCCTCTTCGTAGTCGACCTCTGTTCCGTCCCCGCGGCACGGCTGTCTCCGAGCACGGGGTAGCATCGACACTACCTGCCGCCCCCTTGCACTCAGAAGCGGCGAGAGCTACTTGCTCTCTGTCACAACCGAATTCACAAACACCACAAGCGACCGACGCCGGCCTTTTCCCTCGCCACACAGTACACCGCGCACCAGACCGCCGCCGCCATGTCGGGTGTCAAGAACCTCCGGGCCATGTTCGAGCAGAAGCAGGACGCGAGCCCGCCAGAGAGAGGACTCGATCGTGGAAGGTCACCAGGAGACTCGTCAAGTACGTGCACGCCCCAAGACACAACCTTCCCCCTTTGAGCCCGCCCAGCTGGCCGCTGCCGCTGCCCCTACCGCTACCACCAAACCGTCGTCACCCACGGGAGACTTTGCCCGGCCCCCCAAGCACTCCAAGAGCTAAACACAGCTGCTGCTTTTGACTCTCTTCACCGCTTCAAAAATCGGGGCCTTACGTCACTGACTTGTCAATCGACGCCGCTCGCAACCCCCCCTGGTTGATGATCGACCTAGCTAACATATGACCTCGTTCTCCAGCTCGATCCGAGACGCCTCCCCGACCTCTCTCCAAAGTTCGCACAAACTTCATTGCCGTCCAAGAAAAAGACGGCCGCATAGGACTGAGACGGGACCCCAGCGACGACGGTTCCACGCGCAGCTTGTCACGACGACGCCTCAGCGTCAACACGGAAGAAGGCAGTGTTTCGGCCTTTTCAGAAAGGACCATGGCATTCACCGAGCCCATCCCTGAATCGCCACGGGCCCCAGAGACGACCACGTCGTCCCACGGAGCCAATGGCACCAATGGCGATTCGACCAAGCTATTGGGAGCGGTAACCGACCGTCCCAGCCACAACCCGGACAAACACATGGACGTCGAAACACCAACCCCCAAGCTTCTCCCAGCAGATCCTACAGAAAAGCCGCCATCCAACCTGTCGGCCATCTCAACCGACAAGGCAGCCAAGGCTACCACCGCCACCACCAAGACGGGTGCCAAATCACCTACCCGACAGCTTCCGAGCAGACTTCAGACCACAAAGACGACGACAAAAGCACCAGCCAAGTCGCCCGCCCTTCCCAAAACCCCGACCAGCCTCCCCCGGGCCGCAGGCGCCACCCAAGCTACCAAGACGACCCGGGAGCCGGTCAAGAAGCCTGTCGACAAGGGCACGACTTCCAAGCCAGCCACTACCACGGCGAGGACTGCCACCAGAGCCGGCACATCGGCGTCGGCCGCGAAAAAGGCCACACCCGCTCCCGTATCGATCTCGTCCTCGGGCAGCACAGGGTTCGTCAAGCCCAAGGTCAAGTCCCCCACTCGACCGGTGAACCTGCCGTCTTCCTTGATGGCGCCCACGGCGGCATCGGCCTCGCATTCCAAGATTGCCCGCCCCACGAGTCGGTCGAGCGTGTCGACGACGGCCACCAACGCCACGGCGACCACCAAGACGCTTCGAAAGCAACGCTCCAGCATTAACCAGTCGAGACCCAGCCTCGGCCCGCCTCCCAAAAAGGCCCAAGATCACCCCGTCACCAAGAAGGAGCGGGAGGTGGACGAAGGTTTCCTCGCTCGCATGATGAGGCCCACGCAGAGCTCGAGCTCCAAGCTCAGCGACAAGGTGCCCATTACGCCGCCACGCAAGGCCGCGCCCAAGAAGGACGCGAGCTCCACCAAGGCCAGCACCTCGACGACGGCCAGCGGGCGGAAGAAGATTGGCCAGCCTGCATTTGCCACCACGGGGAGCCCGGGACAGAAGAAGATTGCTGACGCCGAACAAGTGGCCCTCGTCGAGACGGCCGAGGACGCCATCAGTGTGGCGGCTGCAGCGGGCGTCGAGGAGCCTGCCGAGGCCAGCCCTGCGAGGGTGGAGGCTGAGCCGGCCAAGGAGCTCGAGCTTGAGCCTACCGTTGTCGAGGAGCCCGAGCTCGAGGAAGCCGCGGCCGAGGAGACGGCTGCCGATGTGGAGGCTGATGGCAAGACGGATGACGTGACAGAAGAGGCTGTCCCCGAGAGCGAGCCTGCTTCTGCCTCTGCCGAGACATCTCCCGCTGCAGAAGATGCGGCCGAGGTCCTGCCTGCTGTCGAGGACGCTCCCGTCGAGGCGATCGCGGTTGTCGAGGACGACGAGGAGCCGACGGAACCCGTCATTCTCGACACCATCACGCCGCCCCCTGACCTGTCAACGCCCGAGGCCAAGGCCATTGTGGAGAAGGACGCTACAGAGGCCGCTGACGTTGAGGATGTCGGCAAGGTGCTGGAGAGTCTCGCGATCACGGACGCCACGGCCGAGTCGCCAGCAGCGAAGGCGTCGGAGATCCAGGCTGTCGATGAGAGTATTGAGGTCGATGAGGTCAGCCCCGTCGACGGGCCCACGAAGGAAGAGGCTGCACAGAAGCCCGTCGCTGAGACCGCGGCAAACTAGCATTCGCGGCGCTCGTCTCACACGGCGATGCTTGTGGTGTAAGCCACAATCGACGTGGCGGCCAGCCTCTGCCTGGTGGGTGTCCAGGGCGTGCTGCTGGTCTGTTTGTTTCTATTAGAGAGGGGGGTTTTGTTAGATACCTGGTCGCGAACCAAGGCGCATGCGGCAGAGGGCGCACGAAGCGGTTCGTCAGCGCATTTGGCTTGGACAACGAACATGGATTTTGATAGTGTAGGGATAGTCTAGGAAATCAAAACTGTGTCCGTACTGTGTCTTTATCCGTGCAGGGTAGATGTCGTCGAGCACAAGTGCTCGCTCGAGTCAAAACGTCGGAGGGGAGAGGTGGTCCAGGGCAAGAAGGCAAGGTTTGTCATGAAGTGGTATTTGACATGTTCGTTGGTGTCAGTACAAATATGATACAGGATACAACGGCCAGGCCTCTATCCGGCGGCCGGCCTCTGCCATCCGTCTCCTCCTCCCTGGGGCTCCCCAACAGATGAGGGCCTGCCTGGAATTTCCAGGCCGCTATTCAAACATGCGTGCCGCTTTTTTCTTTCTCTACTCTTCTCCAAAGCAAGCCATCCGTCCCCTCGGTGGTTCGAGAAACGGTCCGCCAGCCTAGCGGGCACGGCAGAGCACAATGCCGCCCATATTCCTGCTCAAGGCCTCGCGGCCCTCCATCATGCCCTGGTCGGTCATGAGGAAGATGCACTCGCCGAGCTGCAGGCCCTTGACGAGGCCGTCCTTGCTGGCGAAGCCGCGGACGACGCGGTGCAGGTCAATGGCCTTGATGTGGATGGGCCGCTTGGGCTTGGTGACGGTCGTCATCTTGCGCAGCACGGGCTCGTTGTTCCAGTACTTCATGCCGAGCCAGAGGCGGCGCGTCGCGGCGTTGGCGTGCGTCGCGGGGGCCGGCGGCGCGGCGAGCTCCTGCGGCGTCGGCGGCTGGGGCCCGCCGCGGTGCACCGAGGCGATGAAGCCCGCGCGGTGCAGCGCCAGGGCCAGCGCGAGGTTCACCTTGGTCGCGGGCAGCGAGGTCAGGCCGAGGCGGGCGTTGGCGACGTTGTTGAGGTGCGCGCAGGCGTTGATGGCGTTGCCGATGCCCATCTTGGCGGCTTTCTCTGGGGTGGGGGGTTTCTGGGCTGTGAGGTGCTGCTGACTGCTATTTGGGCGCTGCGAGTCTGGCGCTGTCGTCGGGTGGTTCGGTGGGTGGTTGTCAGGTGGAAAGGAGGTGGCTGCCGGGCGGTCAGCGGTTGGAGGAGGTCGGGAGATGGGTGAGGCGACTTGGTACGGATGAGAATGCCTTCCAGTAGCTGTGTCGCCCCCAAGTGAATGGCTCGACGATGAGGGACGTAGGACGTGGGATGTGTAGCGGGTATCACAGAAACGGGATGGGCTCGTGTCGCTCCATGCCGTGAAGCCATGTCCAAAAATTTGGACCCAGGCCGACGCTGACTAAGGCAGCGTCCTGTCCTTCCTCTCCCAGAGGCCCCAGAGGCCCGTGCATGGCGCCTGCAGCCCGATTCCCGTGACGAGGCGTCTGCCCCTCACCATTGGTTGCTGCTGTGCACTCTGAAGATCCCATAAGCGCCCGGCCTGGCCTTGCTGCGACCGCCTGCGCCAGCCATATGCACATAAACGCCGCCATGCCGGGCCTCATCAGATCCCTCATGGGGTTTCCCTCTTCTGCTGCTCTGCTGCTCTGCTGCCAAGCTGCCAAGCTGTGCGAGCGAAACCCTGAAGCCCCCAAGGCTATTTGCGTCCGGCTCTGTGCGACTTGCTGTCGCTGAAACCACATCCCGAAAGCTTCCCAACGGCAGCCAGGCCTGTATCGTCCCCAAACCAACAAGGCGGGGTAGAGAGCCAGGTAGCTTGAGCAGCTCGTCGGACGACTGCGCGGCACCCAGCCTCTGGCTGTCTTTTTCTCAAAGAGCCAATACTCAAAGAGCCAAGACGGACCGTTTCTATCTTTGTCCCTCGGCTCCTTTGTGCTGCGCCTCTGGCGAGCAGCAGGCATTGGCAGGACAATGGCGAACCACCCAGGCGAGGAAAACGTAGCGACGCTGTAAGTTGGCGAGCTTACCCTCTTGCTCTTGCTCTTGCTCTTGCTCTTGCTCTTGCTCTTGCTCTTGCTCGACCCGAACACCCAAGGCCATGGCTGACCACGAGCACCTGTGCAGTTTTGGAGACATCCACTACTTCTACGGTCCTCCCGACCACAGCCCGCCGCATCACCGCTTCGACAAGGGCTCCTACGTCTACCTCTTTGAGAATGCCAACGACCGCCGCGCGCGCATCGAGATTGCGAACAAGGCCGGCACCGAAGAGCAGGACTCCTTTGACGGCTGTAAGTGTGCCCATCCGCATCCGCCAAAGTGGCTGGCTATCTGACGGATCTGGACCCCATCTGACCCAAGACAGTCCTCGACAAGACGCAGGTCAAATATTCCTACCGCCACCAATGCCTCGTCTCCCTGACCGTGGGAGAGGCCAGTGACCCCAACGAGTGGCACCTCCCGACCTTTGACCCCCACAACCAGAACAAGTACCACTACCCGCTTCACTCCCTGGACATTTATTTCTGGACGACAAAGGACGCGCTGCAGTTCCTGAACGGCATCCGCCGGGTTCTGCCTCAGCAGCAGGTCGACGTCGAGGAGGAACCGGCGCCTCCCCCGCACCCCACCGACGCCAGCTCCGTGGTCCAGCAGCTCGAGACCATCGCCATAACCGATCCCACGTACACGTCGCCCATTGCCGCCCAGGTCGCTCCCATTCCTCAGGCGCCGCCTCTGTCCGCCGTGTCCAACGAGCCCGCGCCGCAGACAAGCTATGCGCCCATCCCCTACAACCCCGCGGCCCCTGCTGCGCCCGAGACCATCCGTCACCGAGAGAAGACGCCGCCCCCCGATGACGGCATCGACCCCCTTGCCCAGGCCATAGCCTACGACAACCAGGCGCCCTTCTCGCCCGGCTTCGTTCCGCCTCCCGGCTTCCTCCCAGGCCAGCAGCCCGGTCTCGCCAGCCCTGGCCTTCCCCCGCCGCCCTCGGTCTTTGGCGCCCAGCCCGGCCTTCAGCGCTCGCAGACCATGCCCGTGCAGCCCGCTGTTGTCGCGAGCCCCTTCAACGCCGCCTACACCGCCGCTGCTGGGTTCCAACCGCCGCCGCCGCCGCCGCCGCCTCCCCCTGGCGGTCCGCAGCCCCAACAGCAGCCCCTGCAACAGCAGCAGCAGCAAGTCGCGACACCGCCCGTCCATACCGAGACCTCGCCGCCCCCGCTGCAGGCCTCGCCCCCGACGGGCGGCTACTCGTCGTACGCCTACACGCACCAGCCGCAGCAGCAGCCTGACACGTCCATCTACGCGATGCACCAGCAGCACTACCAGCCCACCGAGGCCGAGGCGCACAAGTACAAGGGCCGGAAGGAGCCGACGGGACGGCTCGAGGCCAATGCTGGGCGGTTGGAGAGGGGCATGACCGGCATGTTTAAGAAGTTTGAGAAGAAGTTTGGGTGAGCTCAGTGTTGGGTGTGTTGGCTGTTGCTTCTGGGATGGGGCTGGATGGGTGCGGGCTTGCGGTGCAGTGCGATGCGGTTATTGATTAATGATACGTTCCCATGTTCTGATGTCTGGATACTCTCAGCGGGTTATGGTCCCCCAAGTCATGACAAAGATATTGAGTGTGCAAGTTGACGGTTGGCCTTGATTCACAGAGAACTTCGTGCCTGTACAGAGAGCATTTGGTGGTGAGACATGATGAGACGGCTGCATCGACGAACAAGGTTGGCAGCCGCGTTATACTACTCGACTGAGGCGCAAGCTCCATGTCCAAGAGTCGACCGGTCACGTTGCCAGGATTTCACCATGCTCCTCAGATGCAGCACTCCCATGTCATGCATTCATATCGAAAACTATTTGAAATGCGCCTCCAGATATCCGCCCAGCTTCTCGAGCCCCTCCTTTAACACCTCCGTGTGACACACATACCCAATCCTCACATAGCCCTTGAAATCCCCACCGTCGCCAAAACACTTGGACCCCGGCACGAAGAAGACCTTTGTCCTGTCCAGCACGTCCCTGGCAAACGCCACGTCATCCACGGGCGCGCCGTCCCTCTCGAAGCGCAGAAACGCCGTCGTGCCGGCGCTCGGGCGCACCCAGCTGCAGACGCCGGCGTGGGCGTCGACAAAGGCCTCGACGAGGGCGCGGTTCGTCCGCGCGAGGGCGACGTTGCGGCGCAGCAGCGGCGCGCGCACGGGCGGCGCCAGCGCGTAGGCGGCGACCTGGTCGTCGAGCCGCGACACGCTGATGGTGGTGTAGTCGCGGGCCGAGGCGAGGCGGGCGAGCAGCGCGGCGCTCGGCGACGCGGCCCAGCCGATGCGGAGGCCGGCGAGGGCGTAGGCCTTGGACATGGAGCCTGTGGCGATGACCTTGTCGTAGCCGAGGCCTGTGATGGACGGGGGCACGGCGGCGCCGGCGTCGTCGTGGAGGGCGTGGAAGAGCGGGCGGTAGACTTCGTCGGAGAGGATGGTCATGTCTCGCGCGCGCGCCGTGGCGGCGAGGGCTGCGAGCACGGAGCGCGGGATCGAAGCGCCCGTCGGGTTGTTGGGGTTGTTGATGATGATCATCTTCGTGTTGGGCCGGACGAGGGCTTCGAGCTCCGCGACGTCCGGCACGAAGCCGTTCTCGGCCGTCAGCTTCCAGAGGGTGACGTCGGCGCCCAGGCTCCGGGGCACGCTGTAGAGCTGCTGGTAGGTAGGGTAGACGCAGATGACGTGGTCGCCGGGGCCAACGAGGGCGTACAGGGTCAGAAAGTTGGCGGCGATGGCACCCTGCGTGATGAGCACGTTCTCGGACGAGAGATTCTCATGCTGGGAGGCAATGTTGCTGCGGAGGGCCTCGGAGCCGGGAATGGCGCCGTAGACAAGACATGTCGAGGTGTCGATGGGGCTCTTGCCTGACTTGTCTTCGGAGAGCGCGACGAGCTCATCGATAGAAATAGAGGCGGCACAGGTCTCGGCGATGTTGATGACGCCAGGCGTCCTCTCATACTCATCCATCCATCTCTCGACTTCAAAGGGGGCGAGGCGGACCATGTTGTTTGGCTATGGCGTCTGTTCAGTAGAGTGTGAGATAAGCCTGACACTGATGGAAAACTGCTTCGAAGTGATTTTCATGATTTCCGATTTCCCTTAAATACTGTTTGCAGAAGAGACGTGGACAGCTCGACTCGTGCTGTCCACATGGTCGTCCTGACGAGTCGACACCAAGGGCGTGTGCTGAACTTACCCCTTTGGGCAAGTAAGGCGTTCAGGCCAATCGCGTCGTGGCCAACGCCTCTGGGACAGGGATGTGCCTGTTCCCATGGTTCGCCAGAGAACGGCTGGATCGTCCGCTTCATCTTTCCTGTAGTCACCCACATTGAGCTCATAGCGGTATGTCCATCAGGCACATCTCCCTGGCGAAGGGCAGGTCCTGGATTCTCTGAAGCAAAGCAAGGTACCTGAGACCTGTGAAGCCCAACAGTCACGAATGTCCGATCAAGAGATGGAGTATGGAAGAAGATCATGCTCAGGACTTCGATGTCTTCGAGTTGATCTTTGGGGTGCTTGGGTTATGGACTGTTCAAGAAGGGCAATCTATGTACTGGCGTGCCGTCTCTAGCGCGACCGCCGTGCTTCGACGCACAAGCTGTTCAGATCGTCACTTAATATGCTGCAGACAAGGGGTGTGTACGAGCTCAATCACCATCCGGACACTGGACGTAACGCGAAGACTGGTATCAATGAGAGTTTGAGCCCTGCGCTCAAGCACAGCCTTTTTAACCAGTAATGTCTTTCCTTTCTAGAATAATGACTTCACCCCGCCGCTTTCTGCTCGCACTTTCTGGCCTTGTCTACCTTGGTGAAGCTATGACCTGCCTCCATCTCCATATGCAGTCTTGATCAAAGCAGATTCTACAAAGAATCAGATGACGTTAGTCTCTTTAGCAGCAGCACATGAATTGCCGTGGTTGTTTCCACACTTCGCCGGCGAACTGTCGAGAGGAGTAGGGCTGACGTTGTCGTTGCTGCTGGGGCTCGTGGCTCTTTCCTTGTTGCAATCCATTGACTCAGCGGAGCTCATCTGACCAGCTTCTTTGAGACTCTGGTGCTGCCACAGTTCTTCAACAAACTCGAGAACGCCGCGAAGCTCCCCCAGAACGCGCGGGAAGGACGTGGGAGTCTTGTACTCGATGTTCCAGAGGTGGTCCGAGGTGTCGTCGCCGGTGATGACACACTCACCAAAGTCCTTGAGAATTTCCACACAATTAATGGCAGCTTCGATTGTGCCTGCATACTTGTTGATAATTTCGGATGCGGGGATCACATCGGCAGCTGGAGTTGAAGACATCTTGTCGCAAGGCCCTCAAGTCGCTAAGTCGAGTTAAGCGCCACTGGTAAAGGGTGGGTGAGATTCTTTTTCCGCTTCTGCTAGATCTCTGGTGGCGAATCGGCGGATTCAAGGCACTTGGGAGAACTTCGTTGATGGAAAAGCGGGTGTTTTATGGCTGAAAGTCGTGAGCGTGAAGTGCTAGTGAACACCGAAGAGAAGAAATTCAAGACCCCGGGCTTTCATGAGTGTATTCGTTTGTTTTTATCATCGAACAAGGTCTATCATTCACCGCTTCTCGGGCTATTCAATATTGCCTTGCAATGTTCATTCACTGCTTCTCAGTGGGTGCCTGCCTGCCTGTCTATTCTTACATTAATCTTATTCAGGTCGTGCTGCTACCTAGCCAGCAATGTCACTTGGTACTACTGTCAGAGCCTGATAGTTGGCTACATCTGATGTGCTGCTCATGCTTTCTACGTGTCATTCCGGTGGTTCGTTTCCAATAGCTCTACTACCCTGACATCCTTGGAACATCCACACATTGCCCATGAGATTGACCATGAACACTTCATGATCTTCTCGTGGTCACTAACAGCCCAACCATGTCACGCAAGACAGTCTTGCCATACTATAACTTCGCCATGCTTCGATGACACCTTCTCCAAGATAGGAACGACACGTGCCCTATCAGTGGGTTCCTAACGAGCCCATCCCCTGAAACGAGGGCTGTAATCCGGTAGCTTGTCGCCGTCATGGATGGCGTCAATTTCATCCCCGCAGCCAGATTTATAGCCAGTCAAGCTGGAGTAGGGCAGACTTGGGAACCGTCCAGAATCTTGGACCATGTGACTTTGCCCGTCGGATGTCTCGAAGCTTTTCGTGAGCTTCGGTTCGGGTTCGAGACATCCCTTATCCTGTTGACTCTGGTCATCTCTCATCCAAGACTCAGAGAGACTCTTGAGTTTATCGATGTGTTGCAGACGATTTTCGTTCATAGGCTTTCGTATACTGCCTCCCCCCCAAAGCCCTAGTTCCTCTCGAAGTGTAGTGTTGTAGTCGTACAACTGCTCAATATGTTCTTCGAGCTCTTTGACTCGTAGCTCAAGTTGTTTGACGGCAGCCTTTGTTCCTTTCTCGTTCTCCAGATTTCGCGTGACGTCGCGTTCGTTGCTTTGGTGAAGCGCAAGGATTTCCGCTCCGTGAGCAACAGAATTCTTCGTCAGGGGAAAGATACGCCTGGCAACGTTGCGGAATAGGAATTCGTCGGACGAATCGCATTCGTCCTGCCCATGTTCGACGAGTGTATCATCATCACTTCCCTGCTGCCTCTTCGTTCTGCCGCTCTTGCGCCTCTCATTCGGGTGCTGACTCTCTCCATCACTAGCGTCAAGGAGCATTTCTCTCCAATCATCGCCATTCCGTGCATCGTTGTTTTGCTTCTTTATATTCTTGAGAGGATTGTTGTACGCCGTGTTGCCAGTGGCGACATTCGTATCTTGTTCAGTGTTTGGTTCGAGGTTAGAGTTGCACAATGGCGACTGCAATCTCTCAGTATTGGTTTTTTCATGTCGCCTCCTGGGACCTTTGATAACTGGTGTGATTCGAGACAGCCCGAGGACAGCGGCATATTTGTTGCGCTTTTCGACCAAAGCAGCGTCCTCTCGCAGGTTGCCAGGCAATTCGCCTGCTTGGCCCTGGATGACAAGAATGACAATGTCCTCATCCAAGATTGGTACGCCTATCCGTTTGCGGTATTTACAGATCCTGTAGTGGCTGAGGTTGCTTGGGGTGCATCTTCTGCTGAAGCTGGTGCGCGAGAGAGGTGCAGAAGTCGTTTGGTTGACATGATCCCAATTCAGCTGCGGGTACGCCGCTCGTATAGCTGCGATGCGCGGTTCGATCATTGCCTGCCAGTCCTCGTCATTTTGGCAGCGGCCCGCGGCTCTTATGCTGCCAGCCATGTTGTTCTGGGGTTGAGCAGTCGGAACAGAATTCGGCTCTTGGGTTGGTTTGGGCTGCGTTTCCAAGCTGGTTGCGGTGAGAGGCTCTGGGGATTGGGTAGGTGCTGAACAGTCCGTGTTGATGACGAAGGCAGAAAAACGAGGAGACAACAGACGGTAGACAGATTGCGCCGGACAAGTTCCATCAAGAAAGTCACTTGCGTATGCAATTTGAAGAGGGTCATCAAACAGGCAAAACGTGAAGGCAGCTGTGACAGGGCAACTACGGCAACCACGTTGTTGATATTTTGGCAGTTTTTATTACTTGCTATGGACGAATTCGACCTCGACGCGTCTTCTCCTTTGTTTTGCCTGCCGCCCTCTCATGCTAAGAGGACGCTGTGTGTATGCCACCTCAGTCTTAATAGTAACGCCGTGCTTCTCAACTTGACGTACAGCAGTGCAGACACCGCGGGCCACACTGCTGCCGCTGATTTTCTCTAATGAAATCGCGTCAGAAGACTCGCCTTTCGGTGGAGCCATGAGAATCACGGGGCTGTTGATGATGACTTGAATGGTCGATTTCCCCAGGGTCAACGGAGAACTCTCTGTCGCAGGCAAATATGTTGGTGTTAGTATCCAAGAGTATTGAGCAGCTATCTTGCGTTAGGCTCTCGTTTAGATAGAAAGCATAGAAAGCAAGCATCAAGCCGTGGGTTACTCACAAAGGTACCTGACCTAGGCAACCTCTTAGCTTTGCCAGACAAAGTGTTTGTACACACGAATTCCGACTGTTTAGATGTGGGTGAATGGCGAGGATGATTTAGGCTCCACAAACATTTACTATTGCTGTGTCTATTCCTTCCCTGCAGCTCAAATCAGCCTTCTCGACGCTCCATTTGAAAATTGGGTTAGAGACGAACTACAGTGGCGCCAACCTTATGATGGGACTAATGCTTGTCCATATGCTTAAGAGCTTGAGTGGATATCACTGATATCACCTGGTACCATTTTGATGAATGAGTTCACCACGTCGACCTGTCTTCCTCGTCTGGCATGCACGATCCCGAGCGACCCAGGTGCTTACCCAGAACGCCTCTAGCAAAACATGTGCACAGCCACACAGAGGCAAGGTAGCATTCAGTCGTATTGTTCTGGGCTTGCAATATGCAATCAGGTATTCCACTGATAGCCAGGCCATGTGTGGCAGTGATTAGATTAAGGAGTGTATCGTTAAATGCTATGTACCATCGTGTCCGCCTCTTCCATCCATTACAACCATTAATTATCATCCGTTATCGCAACCGTTCGTGTTATTATATTATCATACTGTGAGTTCTTGTGCTGCGCTTAGCAGACGGTGATGTACAGACCCAGGGGCGAGGGGTTGTAGTCCTCGAAGAACCAGAGCGAGGTGTCACCCTTGCTCTTCATCTGGAAGCTGACAGCGGTGCCAGCAGGACAGTCAAAGGTGGCGATCGAGTAACCGTTGCCGGGCGCGATCTGGACCGTCTTGAGCTCCGACTCGACGGCGGGGGCGTTGTTCGCCGTCGTCTTCTGGGTGGCGACGCCCTTGAGCTTGGAGAAGACAAGCTCGCCCGAGCCGCTGAACTTCCAGTCGGACGTCTCGAGGTCCTCCTTCTTGGGGAACAGGAAGACGAGGCTGCAGGTCTTGCCCTTGTAGCTTCCGGGAATGTCAAAGTTGAAGATGGACGAAATCTTGGAGTCGGCCTGGCCGTTGTACGACGTGCCGGGGGCCTTGTCGGGGTTGGAGCTGTCGACGGGGATGATCAGGTGGGGGAACTCGTAAGGACCGGAGAGGTTGGTCGGGCACGTCTTGGGGGACGGAGGCGGCGGGACAGGCTGCGGGGCAGGCGGCGGGCTCACGACCTTGACTTGGATCTGCGGAGTAGGGGTCGGGCAGCCTTGGGTGATGACCTGGGTCACGGTGACTGTCTCTTTGGGAGGGCAGGTCGGCGGGGCTTCGGTGGGCTTTGGCTTGGGGCATCCGGGAAGGCAGCCATCAGAGGTGAGCGTCACCTTGGCGCAGTTCTGGCCCTGATTGTTGAGGAGGTAGATGTTGTACTGGCCATTGTCGGCCTCACACTGGTAGAACTCCTTTTGGCCATTGAACGAGACGGAGCCGTCACACTCGAACTTCCAACCCTTCTCGGGTATCTGGCCGATGTCGCACTGGAGAAGCTTTGTGGGGGCTTCGAAACATTAGCAGAGGTATCATGGAAGGGGAACATGTTGAACATACGAGTCCACCAGCACCCACGGCCTTGGGAGTCCCAGGCTGTGTCACCTTCCAACTTGAAGGTAGTCGGGCTGAGGCCGATCCTGGCCTGGCCACTGCTGAGCTGGCCAATATTGCCAGACACTGAACCGGCCGCCTTGAGGTGGAAGGGGCACTGATCGCCACGAGTGACAAGGCCCTGGGCGGCGGCGGCCAGCGAGGCCAGCGAAGCGAGTGTGTATCGCATGTTGCTTTGTGAATTGATGAACAGATAAGTACAAGAGAGGTACGGGCTGAGGGTTGTATGGCTTGCTGTTCAAAGAAATCTGTAGAGGTGATGAGAAGATGATAGAGTGTCCCTAGAATGCCAGATGAGGGAGAGTTTTTATCTCTTATATACCTTAGATGTCATGACCGGCGCAACGCCAGCGGCATGGCAACCATGATGGATCTCGTGCTCCCTTCCTACCTCACGGTTGAAAACCATGGATGATGCTATACTTGGAAACAGAGAACACGAATCAACGCTCTCGACGCCGCCGTATCGAGCAAATACCACGTCACCTGCGGAGCAATGTGACGCTGATGGCCATGTTTTGGGAGCCTCCAGTCGTAAGGGACTAACACCGCCTCACAGCTATCAGCCTAGTTGCTGGTGAGAGCGTTGCGATTCGGGCTTTTGCGACGTTGAGCCTGTTGACTAGGAAACCCACATGAGGCCAGGGTGGGGTGATCGAGTCTAGGACAAAGACGACGTGCCGATGGGCCGTTGGCATCTCCACTGCGGAGGCTGGTGATGTGACTCTATGGGCTTTTCCAGCATAAGGTTTTTGAACTTGGTGGACGGTGAAGTGCGGTGATTAACATTGATGGAGAAGCTTCACGAGCTGTTGTTCATCCCTGCTATAGACGATTTGGTCACCCGTGACACAATGCTTTGAACCTTTGAACCAGCCTTTTCGGGGGCGCAGTCGGAGTGAGAGCGTTGTGGATAGAGACACAAATATCGATCCCAGTCAACTCTCTCGGCAGCCCTAACCGGAGCACTGTGTGGCTGGCACCTAAACATCACTCGCCAGCGCAAGTCTGACGTGGAGGCTGGGCGGGGATTCGCCGTTATTAGGACCGACAAGCAGCTGAAAACAAGAACTGGGGTCCAAGGCGTTGGTCCTGTCGCAAACTATTTTCCGCAGGCATCGTGGGGTGCAAGGGTGACGGCCACGCCCGCCCAGAAACTCAAATCGCTGGACACGGCGAGGATTCGAGGGTGAGTGTCAGATGACGTTGAACGGGAGGTCGGTAGGGCGCCGACATTTTAGCTTTATGTCTTCGCTTAAATATTAGTGGCTCGTATTGAGAGTGAACAAAAGTGCACCAGCAGATCGTGTCGGAGACGCGCGACTCTCAGAGGTTTGCTGAGCCTGAAGGTCTGCTGACGACCGCCGGATGAGGCATCACCAACTGTTATGATCTGTCAGAGGAGGGGTTTTTGTTACTCGATCTTGTAAGTGGATGTTGTCATACTTGCTTTCGTGGAGAAGACCGATGGAAGCACGGTACACTTTTTATTTTATTTTGTCGAACATGCATGCTGTCATCCACTGTCAATGCCTGATCCGGACCATCTAGGCTGAGCTGGTACGAAAGCCGTCGAGGTTATGGCGTTGACCTAAAACCAACCCAAGTGAAGATCATCTGGTTTGAACGTCTCGATCAGCACAGAACCGGGGTTGCGGGGCGCTAGGTGGAGGAACAACCGTCGTAGCCGAACCGGCCTACCCGGGTGAGGCGGCATCGTTCACGGGTGGCGGGAATGTAGGAGGCTCGTTACGAGTTCGTATTCCCAGTGACTGGATTGTGCCTCGCCGAGGCGAACTAACCCGGTTGACTCGGACTTGGTCATGATCAAAGAGCAAATCGACATCGACGCAAGCAGTTCAACACAAGGCATCAGACGATTTCATGGTGTCACCGAATCCATGGAAGACTGCAAAGCGCTGGTCCGTATTTCCGATCGTGATGGGTATCATGGTTTTTGCTTCTCCTTCTCCTCTTCGGCAAGGCAGGGAACTCAAGTTCTCTTCCGCCTCTTGGTGCTGGATCCTCTGCTGAGACTCCTCTCGCTCTGTGAAGCGATTGATGTCTTCAGGCTAGTGCCCTTGCTACCAGCATCGCTGTCGTCGCTTGAGGCGCCGAGCGAGATGACGTCGTCAGCACCATCAGAGCCCTCGGCGTCTGTCGGCTTCTTTTCATCCTTCTCGTCCGACTCGACATCATCTTCAGAAGCGAAACCATCAAACTCCTCATCGTCCTCATCAGCTGCAGCAACCGAGCCCGCTCCCGGCGTCGAGGGACCCATTGAAGTGCCAGGAGCGCTCGCGGCGTCTTCAGCCCGTTTCCTCTTCAGAGGCATCTCACCAAGTCTTCCACTTCGGCCCTCAATGTCGTTGCTCTCCTTCGCATCCGCATCCTCTTCCACGGGCGCCGGCGTGAACCAGGGAATCTTGCCCCGCATGAAGTCGTTCAGCACCATCTTGGCAACACCGTCCAGGTCAGGCTCGCCCTTTCGGAGCAAGCGACCATTCTTCCGTGCCAGCATTTCCAAAAATTGGATGTGGTCCTCATAGCCCTTGAGCTCGTAGGTCCTCTCCAGATGGTGCGGCTTCACCTTCTTCATCAAGCCAGGGATGTACTGTTCGGGGTTGTCGACGTTCTCAACGCGAACGACGCCACGCAGGAGAATGTCCTCTGGCGTGTCGGTCTGAGAAGGAGGCACGATACCCGGGCAGTCAATCAGGTATATCCTCTTGGTAAGAGTGATGTACTGCCAGACCTTGGTCTCGCCAGGAATGGGCGCAACAGTGGCAACCTTTTTGCTTCTCAGCGTGTTGACGATGCTGCTCTTGCCCACGTTTGGGTAGCCAATGAGGCCAACCGAAATTTGTTTCCTGTCGCTGTGCAGCTTTGCATATTGTCGAAGCAGTTCAATAAGACTACCCTTGCCAAAAGGGTTCGTGATGCTGGAGTGCATCGCGAGTGTTGGCCTCTGCTTGGAGAAGTACTTGACCCAACGAGCCTGTTTCTAGTCAGTGACTGTCGTCGAACAGAAGATCTGTAAAGCAAGTGAAAAATATGTGCGCTCGAGCTACTAAGAAATGCCGCCACGAAAGGCTGTAACAAGTACCGGCAGACTTCAACTCAATGTCAAGCAGTACCAGTCTCATGATAAAAATTCCAAAACGGACACTATCAGCCAAGGCCCGAGAGCCAAGACAGCGAGACGGCGTTTGATTTTCCCAGGGTGTAACGCAAACCATCCATTGCGGGCACCGTAGTGCGGTTGGCTTCCTGACAAGACCACTGGGGGAAAGAGTGTGTATACAGAGAAGAGAAATGGTGACTTACAGCAACGGTTGTAGGGACGAGATCAGTCTTGTTCAGGACGAAGATGAGATGTTTATGCGGCGCCTCTTCTCTGAGGTACTTCTCAACACTCAGACACCTAGTACCAAGAGGGTCCCGCGCATCCAGCACGTGAATGACAACGTCGGACGAGTCGAGCACGCGGTAGAGCTCGTTCCAGATACGCTTGCTCTGACCCTTGTTGAAGATGGGTTCGATTGACATGCCAACATGCGCCTCGTCCTCAGCCTCGCCGGAGTTGCCACTCAGGAGCTTTGCCTGCTCGCGACGCTCCTCGTATGTGTCCATGCTCTTGTCGACATCATCCGCCAGATCAGCCAGGTTGCCGGCACCAATCTTGACCCGCTTGCGCTGGGCCTTGGGACCAAAGGTGTCAGCAAACGACGATGTTTCAATCGTCATTTTGGCGTGGTGCTTCTTCTGACCCTTGGCATCCTTGGTCTCATCGCGAATGAGCGACATGGGAAGCTTGTTGGTCTTGAGGAGGACTGAGTAGGGGTCGGAGGTCTTCTCGGCCATGGCGGTCCTGAAGGCGTTCAGACTGTCCTGGGAGATGACACGTGTGTTGCCGAACCACTTGCGATTCGGCTCTATCCTGGCGTTGGGAACATCCCGGCTCTGGAAGGAGGCGGCAATGGTGATGTCTCCGGCGGCGTTCCTCGTGGGTTTGCCATCCTTCAGCATGTTCAGGGCCTTGACTCTCTTGGCGGACCTGAGGCATTGTCAGCATGGTGGCATGGGGGATGATAGTTTCCGGCGAGGGTATTCTCACCTGTAGAAGTTCTCGCCCTTGGTCTTGATGTTGGCAAACTCGCCCGCCTTGCCCTCGCGAACCTTGCGGTTCGCCTCCTTCTTCTGGGTACCCATTGCAAAGTTGGATGCAGCCGCTGCAGGAATCGGAGATAATACGGTGCTGGCGGCTTCCTTGCCTTTTCTGAGAGTGTGAAAGGAGTTGGTAGAAGTGAAAACTGCGAGGGATCGGGGTCGCAGTCGCAGGAGCTTGATGCTGCAGAAGGGGAAGATTTATGGTGGGGAGGGACTATCGACTTTTTTTCTCTTCGCCGTTCTGCCTCCCTAATTTTTTAGGTGGGGAACACGGAGCCACGGAGGGCGTTTGGCCGAGTGACCAATGGCAGGGGTTTATCGACATGTTATCACTACCCCCAGCACTTGATGACACCCCCACAGTTGCATTTCCCATCAACGCACCCAGAAGCATTAAACCCACCCCCTGGTGTTCATGGAAGCTTGGACAATCCTGAGATTTTCTCTGGAGCATCGTGTCGAGCTTCATCGTCCACCACTTCATCCAGCCAGCCAGCCAATCCCACTCGAATCAATCACACGAGGCCACGACCATCGACTGGCTCGCCTCCCCTTCACCATGGCTTCCCGCTGCTCCTGCACGGCGCTCACGAAGCTGCCAATCGGCCGCTCGACGTCCCAATCCCTGACCTCTCGATCCTTCTCAACCACGACGTCCCAGCAAAGGGGCCTGCCACGCATATCCCCCGAGTCTCCCGACTGGATCCAGATCCCGCGCGCCCGCCAGGACCGGGCCTCGGAGTCCAAACCCGTCAAGCCCAAGGGCACGCTGCCCGTGCCTCGCGCCCTCTTCCCCGACGGCGCCCGCAACCCCAAGCTCCAGCCCGACTTCCTCGCCAAGTCGGCGCCCCTGCCCACGAACGCCGCCTCGCAGCAGCCCGCGCGCCCCGGCTCCGCAACCGACATCCGCCGACGCATGGCCGAGCACCGGCGCGCCAACCTCGCCGCCGGCGTCGAGGGCCTCTGGCAGCGCAAGCAGCAGCACGAGGCCCGCCTCGAGCGCACGGCGGCCGCCCACCAGGCGTTGACGCTGCGGCGGCGCAACGCGCCCGAGCGCGCCGACGACGTCCTCACGCGCAGCACCGTCCTCACGGCCACGGCCCAGAACGTCGCCGTGCTGCCGGACCCCGACCGCTTCGCCCGCGCCGAGGCCAGCCGCGCCCGCACCCTGGCCGAGGCCGCCCGCAAGAGCGAGGCCCGCCACGACGCCCTCGTCGCCCTCTACATGCGCGCCGGCGACTTCATCGTCGACGAGGACCACCTCGCCGCCGAGGTCGACAAGCTCTTTGGCGACGACTACTTCAAGAAGCAGGCCAGCTCCACCTCGACCGACGCCGACAATGCCTGGGACGTCTGGGGCGCCCCGCCCACGCTGCAGCACCTCGGCCACCTTGCCACCAAGGACGCGACCGAGCACACCAGCAGGACGGCCAAGAGGCAGAAGAGCATCGCAGAGGAGCTGACGGGTGGTCAGATGGATTAAGAAGCCTTCTGGTGCCGAAACAATAACAACACGTCTCCCTTTTCTCTGTACAGAAATGGGAACGAACGGCTGGCCGCAGACATCACAGCCCCCCAATTTGTACGCTTGGAAGATTGGCTTCGGAGGTGGAGGGGGTGAGCATCAGCTTGGGAGCGCATCATCACTCGGTTGTGTATTGGCCTACAATTTCACATCTGACATGTACCATAGACAAACACTTGTAACCGTGTATAAAGCCCATAAGAGGCTGCAATATTTACTTTCAAAGTAACCTGTCCCCCAAAACTCCGAGTGCACAGTGCCTGCCGATATGCAATGAAAGCCGATACATGACGACCGTACTTGTAACATCCAGTGTGATCCCGATGCCGCTACAAATGCATCAGCACCGTTTACTTTCTTCAATCAAGTCGAACTGCAATCATGGTAGAAAGCTGCCCATCCTAGAAACACAAACTTTGACGCTTCCTCTTCTCGACCAAGACAATGACGATGACGGCAACTGCGTGGATAGTCGGCGTCACCTCTTGGCCACAGGATGTGCATAGTGGTGTTAACATCAAGCCGATCATCTCTTCTCAACCAACAGTATGTGCATCGCACCATAGGCGAGAATGGTGAACAGAATGCCGACGATGCCCAAGTTGATTAGGTCAGAGCCGAGAGCGCTGTTGTTGAAACCGAAGGAGCTCAAAATGGCCGCACCTGGCACGGTGATGTCGAGCCCGTATTTCTTGTCCACCAGAGTGAGCTCCAGAACTTCGTTGACGATGAGGCACTCAAAGGCATAGTGGAAGATGGAGAGGTTCTGCAACCACACGGCAGCGTCGGGGATGGCGTTGTGGTTAAGGAGCAGACCAGCGAATAACAGGCTGAACAGCATAACCAGACTGCCGATCAGGTTGGCCACGCCGCTGTCCTTGCACACGATGCCGATGAAGAGACAGATGGCTGCGGCGGCCAGGTTGAACAGGACCAACACAAGGATAAAGTTGAAAAAGTGCGCTGCATCTGGAACGAGGCCGGTCATGGGGTAAACGATAATGCCCATGAGGATTGGTGGGATGATGCGAAGTGGAACGATATCAAAGGCGAGCTTGGCGGCAAAGTACGTAATGGGCGCGTAGTAACCGTTGGCACGCTCCCGCACAAACAAGAGTCGCTCGGAGGCAAATACGTGCAAGCTCGTCAGGGTGCTGAAACCGAACAGAGCAAGCAGGAAGAAGAACAGACCAAGGCGGTTCTGGAAACCGGGGATATCATCCGTCAACCCGTAAAAGAGGTAGCCTGACAAGACAGCAAGCAGAATGGCAATGGCGTAGTGCGTCAGCATCAGGATGGGGTTCCTGTACAAGTTTCGGAAGGTTCTTTGCGACAGGATGATGAACTGGCGGAAGTAGCCGACACGAGCATAACCTCGTCCGATGGGGCCAGTGTTGACATTGGGTCCGCCAGGGGAGTTGCCGTTGGAGTTGTGGCCGTTGGCCGTCTGGGCCGTGGTGATGGACTGCTGAATCTCCTCCGACGTGGACGCGGCGATACCAGATTCGGTGAAGGCCCGTACCAGGATATCGAGGTCGCTGCCGCTGGGAGCCCCAGGTGGAAGATCGTGGAGATCATCCTGGTTGCTTGCAGCCTGCCGGTGAAGGCGGTATGAGCTGGAATCCTCAGCGCCAGCATCCGAAGATGCCGCCGTGTCAACGCCCTTTCGGCGGGTGAAGAGCTCGCGTTCCTGGCGAACCCTGACAGAATCCTTGCGGTTGTACTTGGGACGGGATATCGTAGACTCGATACCGCTGTCTTCGTCGAGGCTACCACCGGCGACACTGGCGATGGACTTGACGGCCGTAGTGCTGCTGGGGCCGACGCTGGCCACCTCAGCACTCAGAGTACCATCGTCTGTAGAGAAGGTGGTGCTCGCATGCATGGTAAGATCGACGAGGTAATCGGCAATGTTGAAGCCGGGAGGGCACGCATAGCCAATACGATCAAAGTAGGGCTGGCACTGCGAGAAGGGGCCCGAGAAGACGGTTCTGCCCTGGGCCAACAGAACGAGACGGTCAAAGAGCGCAACAATGTTGGAGCGGGGCTGGTGAATAGTGAAGATGACGGTGCGCTTGTAGGTTTTCGCGAGCGTGACGAGGCATTCGACCACGTTGAAGGCATTGAATGCATCGAGGCCGCTCGTGGGCTCGTCGAGGAACAGAATCGAGGGGCTCGTGACAAGTTCGCAGGCAATGCCGACGCGGCGCTTCTCTCCGCCAGAGATACCACGGCCCTTGCCCTCGGCAGAGCCAATAAGAGAGTCGCGAATGTGATGAATTCCAAGCTGTTTCTCAACCTCGTAGACCTTCAGCTCCTTGGCGGCGCGGGTCATGTTACGGGGCAGGCGGAGCAGAGCGCTCGTCAGAATCGTTTCGTGGACCGTCAAGGTCGGCAGCATGGTGTCCTCCTGATCGACAAAGCCAATGACGTTCTTGTAGGCAGCATCGGTCACCTTCTCGCCGTTGACCAGGAAGTCGCCAGAGACACGGCCGCGCTTGTTCTTGCGTGCCAAAATGTCAAGGAATGTCGTCTTGCCAGCACCTGAAGCGCCCATGATGGCCATGACCTCGCCGGGGTGGGCCATGCCCTGAATGTTGGCCAGAATCTGCTTCCCGTTCAGGTCATACGCAACGTTCTGGAAGTACAGCGACGCAGGCTTGTGGTCAGTCATGAGCTGGGTGTTGTCGTCATCCGAGTCGTCCAGTCGAATAGCGCTGTATCTGTAGGATCGCCTTGAGAGATACCAGACGATGAGGATGACGGCGACGAGGAAGAGAGAGCAGGCCGCAATGACACCTGCGATGAGTGGCGTGTTGATCTTCTTCCTCGGACGTTCGTAGCCGGGCACCTTTGTGTGATGCAGACACTCGCCGGAGCGGCACGAGAGCTCAATGCTCGCGTCACCGAGAAGACTGAGAATGAGGTCGTCCATGGCAGGCTCCTTGAACTTGCAGTTGTTGATGCCGCCGTTCTGCTGAAGGCACTGGAAGGTAGCTGGGCCCTTGATCTCCTCGTCCAGGAAGTCGCCGATATCGACCGAGCCGTTCTCGCCGCAGAGCATGCGGTCTGAGATGCAGCTGCATTCAATCTTGTTGCACTTGTAGGTGGTGCTGTTCTGCCTGTCGTCAATGATGGCTTTGGAGTCGCACTCGGTGAGGTGGCAGTAGAAGGATTCGCGGTGGTCCACCCAGACTATAGAGGTAGGTCAGTCAGCGGGTGTGGTGCGTCTGGATCAGGAAGACAACGCACATTGAAAGTCGCACTGGGCGTCCTCCTTCTTGCAGTTGAAGGTGACCTGGGGCTTCTTCGTGCCGAGCAATTTGGTGATCTGCTTGTTGGTCACGTCACACATCTGGTAGTTATGATCGACGACCTCGCCGCTCTGGTAGCAGACGCCGCCGTCGCCAGTCGGCATCAAGGCATTGCATGCGTTGTCCTCGGTACAGACGTTGCAGTTGATGCCGGTCCAGCCATCGTCGCAGCTGCACGTCTTCTCGTTGGGCAAGCGGGGGGGCCGTTTCTGATTGTCGCCGGCGCCGAGGGAGCCACAGACTGCGGAGCATCGTCAGCATTCTGTTCGCCACAGAGCGATGAGGAGGGAGAAGGAGGGAATTCGCGGTCGTGGTCACGTACGAGGGTCAATGCAGTCGTCACCACCAAACCCCTCAGGACAGTCGCATTTGCCAGTGTAGTTGTTGCAAGGCGCGAACTGGTTGCATTTGTGAGCGGGGAGGACACAGTTGAAGCTGCACGATACAATCATCAGCATGGGGCATGGGCGAGGAGACTTCGGAGATGCGCGAGGACGTACCAGGGCGGGCAGTCGGCTGGGCGCGAGTTCTCGAGGGCCAACTGGGCTCGCGCCATGTCGAGATCGGAGTAACTCGTGTAGTTGGGCTGGGTGGCGGCGAGCGGGGCCAGGCCGGCGAGAGCGCCCAGGAAAAGGGCGCTCTTCAGCCGTAGCACAGCCATCGTGAGAGGGCTGTTGGATCGAAGGGCTGGTGAATGGATGTGGTTAGGGACAGGTTGCCCGATGTGTAGTTGTTGATGGACGAGGAAAGCTCGGAGGGAACAGAGCGAAGACGATTGCCTTGATGGGCGAGTTAAAGGTTGGGGAAGCTCGAGCTCCAGGTGACAGCGTCAGTGGCCAGCACCTTAGCCCGTGGTCGCTCGGCCAGTTCCCAGTGGGCCGTTCCTGGTTGGTGGACGGCTGGCACTGCCTGCACTCCGCTGTGCAGCAGCGGCCAGGTCCAGTGCGGAGGGAGTCTGGGGCCGCTGTGCCATTGGAGCGCGCTGTCGCAGTGGGCCGAACGGGGCAACAGGTGTCGGTTAAAGCATGCGGACGTCGCGGGGTCACTCCACTACAGTCTGCTGTGAACAAATCGATGACCATCACAATGTGTCTGCCTGGTCGTTGCAGCCTGCGCCGCCTGTGCCACAGTTCCCAGCGCCTCTTTATGCATCTGAAGCATTCCATGATAGGGAACTAAAAGATAGGTAAGAAGGTATGAAGTGCAGCATGATGGGCCGTATCATTCTTTTCACGTCGTGAACTTTGCATAGGCTTGCTACGACAGTAACTGTGAGCCTAGGAATGGCTAGATGCTCTGATGAGGATAGCCATCGGAGGTACCCTTAGGCAGATGGCAAAGCCAAGGCGGATAGCACTACATGGGGCAGTAGCCAAAGCACGGCGATACACTCTAGATATTAGAGGTGTCACATCTGACTGATACACATAATGTGATACAGGAGCATGTGGTAAGCCATGACAGCTCATCGATGTAAGTCGATGGCACCTGAAAGCTCGTCATAACCTTGATGACATGTGTCTCGGGGCGTGGGCTATTATCTCTTTTACTCAGGACTACATGGTATGGTCTTCCGGAATTGACATGGAATATGTACGTGGCTTACATCACACATGAACGAGCCGGGTATGCTGACTAGATGGCTATCTACGCATGTCATACCGCCCACCTTAATTCGACTCTATATCGCTAGCATTGTGAGTGCTCCTTCGTGATGCCTTGAGAAGCGGCTGTATAGGTTGCTCGGCCCGGCATTCGGTTGTTTCGGAGGTTGTATGCGGCGTTCAGGTCGATTGAGTTTGCAATGCCTGCGTGGGTCATGTCGTGCAAGGTTGGAACATACTTTGAAGGTCTGATCTAAACCCTGATCACTTTGTACAATACCTTCTACTAAAATCGATCAAGAAGAAATATACACATCATCAAGGCCATGTGGCTCCACGACTGTACTTACTCCTCAATTCGATGCCATTTTGCGCCTCAGCCCAGACTGCCCCATTCACACCACGACGCTGGCTTTGCTCCACTTGTTGGCTGCCCGAATCCTCTCACCAAACACGTAAAACACAAACGGCACCGGCACCAGCAGCACGGCAAAGCCCGCAAAGATGCTCGACCCGGGCCCGACGCCGAGGTTGGAGTACAGCGGCCCGACGACGAGCGGGAACGCCGCGGCGAAGCAGCTGCGCAGGAACGTGTTGGCGGCGACGGCGCTGGCGGCGTACATCTGGAATGTGTCAACGAGGTAGTTGAGCGCCGCCTGGAAGATGGTGTTGAAGCCGCAGCCCGTGAGGTAGAGGCCAAAGACGGGCACCATCCAGTGAGTGGTCGCTGGGCCGGCCGTCCAGCCCGTGACAAACTGGCCCACGGCGAAGAGCACGCTGCCAAGCATCATGGGCGGCAGCCTCTTCTCTGGTACGGCGCGGTCGCCGGCGGCGTGGTACGAGCGGTTGTAGACGAGCTGGTTGAGCGTGTTGATGACGGCGCCCGTGATGGCGCCGAGCAGGATGGCGAGGAAGGGCAGCACGGCGCTGACGGCGGGCCAGCCGCGCTCGACGCCAAAGATGAAGGGGATGGCGCCCAGCTGCATGTAGAGGATGCCGTAGCAGAAGCTGGCGTACAGGGCAACGAGAAAGCAGATGGGCGTCGCAATGAGCTGCAGCGGCCGCACCAAGAACTTGCGCGCCAGCTCGCCGACGCCGACGTCCCACTCTTCGAATTTCGCGTGTAGTGCCCAATTCCCTGTATCATAACGCAGGCGGCGAGCTTTGTCGACGAGGAGGCGCGGCGGATACGATTCGTCAATGACGAGCACGGCGATGAACAAGACAAAGGCCTGCAGCATGCCCGTGACATACTCGGTCCAGCGCCAGCCGAGCGACGGATCGGACACGAGGGCGGCAGAGACGATGGGGCCAAGCGTAGGCCCGCCGACGACAGCCATGGCGTAGCCGGCCATGGCTATACCGCGGTACGCCGGCGTGTACAGGTCGCCAAGCACACCGCCTGTGTTGGTGACGGGGGCCGAGGCGAAGAGGGCGCCAAAGAAGCGCGTCAGCATCAGCGTCTGCAGGTCCTTCGCCGTCGCCGAGGCAAACGAGAAGCACATGGCGATAAACATGGGCGACAGGACAGCGGCACGACGGCCGTAGACCTCCGAGAGCGGCGCCCAGAGAAGCGGACCGACGCCGAAGCCCATGAGGTACAGGGACGTGCCGAGGGTGGCCACTTGTCTCGAGACGCGAAACTGGGTAGCAATCTGTTCGGTGCCGGCGGCATAGGAAGACGATGCCCACGTTGCCGTCATGGTGACAAAGCCGTATAGTAGTGTTGTAAGAACCTTTTTCTTGGTGGGCCAGTTCAGGGGATGGTATGGATCGTCGGGCCCTTCATAATCGACCAGCTGCTCTTCCGTCGTGGGCACATGAGCCAATGGGTGGGAGAAAGGAGGAACGCTCGGCCGGGAACGAATCTTGGAGAGGATCGTGTCCCGTCGTGACATGGTTCGTCTCAGCTGGCATCCATTGTCGTCTCTGCCCGTGGCGCGAGAGCTCGTTCTTTGCATCTCGAGATCACACGGGCGGTGGCCATCATGGTGGCTCTTCTCGTTGAGCGAAGAGGTACAGCCTGAGGGCCGAGGCCGAGGTTGAGGTCGTCGCGTCGAGGGACCACCATTTCTTTCGTTGGCAGCAAAGGTCGAAGAGGAGGCGGATGACGATGATGAGCTGGTAGGAGACAGCTGATGGCCGTCTCCCTCCTCATGTGGTGTCGATTCTGGCGTTCGACTTGTCTGAAGATTCGCCATGTTTGGGAATGAAGCTGTGAAGCTGGCTTTCGATTGACGAAGCCATCGTCATGGTCATTCTGAATGTGGACTTGGTCCACTAGTATATGGTCATCATGATCAAAGCGTGTTAACTGATTTGCCTTGCTCAGCCGACGTCGGAAATGGACCAAGTGACGTAGTCATCGGCCAAGAATCAATCTTGGCCGAGACGCGAGTCAATCGACGGACTTGCGCGCCGGGTCTCTCAGGCCTTTGTAGGACAATCGGGGCATCGGCATCTTGGCTTTAAACCCGTTGCACCCATTCCCGGCCCATCAATTGCCAATCTTGCGTTGACGGCAAGCAATTGCATTGTGAAAAGTTCCTGATTGTCCGATATCAAGATTCCCATGATGGAAATAGATGCCGTCCATTATCCGAATTATACGGCTTGCTCCGACATCGCGTAATTGGAGGGCATACAAGGCACCTAGCCACACATTTCAGTATAGGACGAGACAGTCTTTCTCCAGTTCCACAACGGGTGCAGACAGCCAGGAGCCGACAACGAGCCGGCGTCGTTGGTATCCTGGAGATTAGAGCTCTTCTGGTATGAGAACGGATTGCTCTTCCAAGCGGGGAGTCCATGGCTTGATCTTAGTCGAGCAATCGGCACCCTGTACAAGAATACGTCCCATGGGCAAGACGGCCTGCGAGAACTTCGCCTCAAGACCTGTGTTTTTGCCAGCCCTGCCCCCCAGGTAAAGAGGAGATCCTTTCGAACGCCAGCAGGGAGTTGGTCCACTGGTCAAACCAGAGCAGCCTCCTTCGTATGGCAGCTGCAGCTGCCTGAGCATCGTTGCTTCACAATCCGTGAAAGCCAACCCCGAGTCGGCTTGTGCCTCGAAGGGCCCACCAGTCAGGCATCTGGCTAAACCAGACAAACCAAGACGTATTGTTCGGATCAAGCATCGTTCCTCGTTCCTCCGCCTCGGTCCATCTCTGATTGCATCGTCTGTACTTCGCAATCACGAGCCACAAGTACACCAAGACACAAGGGATAAACCGAGCCCCTCGGATAGCAATCCCAAGGCGCAGTGGTCCATGTGCAAGAAGAACAGCGAACCGAAAGTCATAACGAAGACTCCAATAGGCAGAAGCGAGGCGGTCGAACAGATGCCATCGTCGAGAAGGGTTGTGTCTCTTTGACGTACGGGACGCAGCTGATATGGCAGTCGAATCCAGACTTCGAGGGCGCGACCCGAGGTGATGATTGTCCCTCGGTTGGTCACGGTGCGTCTTTCGATGAAGACCACGTAGAATGTCGGACATTTCTGTTCTGCCGAATTGCAGCAAGAGCTTTCGCTGTCGTCTTTTGTTATCGGTGCACAGGCGGAACATGGTAGTGGTAGGTGTTGCAAGTAAGGACGAGGCAGGAAGAGTGGGTGAAAATAATCGAAGAAAGCGTCTTCAGCCAGCTGGGTAGAAGCAAGCAGAAGGCAGAAGGAGGCAAAGAGTGTGTACGATTTCGGGAAAAGAGGATACAGAGGGTTTGCGTTCACGATTGCTCTGGTCATTTCAAACTCTCCATACCTACCTAAGGTAATCCATGAATGCAAAAATGTATGCGCTCCATCACGGTCATCCCCCTCGTCGAAAGTACCTGCTCGGATTAGCCGCCAACGATGTTCGCTCCAGAATCCCATACCAGCCCAACGTCGGCGAACCCAATCCCAACATCATCCAAATACAGGGACAGATAAAGACCAGGACTAAAAAAGCTTGTCAAACAAAAGGCTTCGTCTGGAGCGCGTACATGTACACGTCCATGCCTAGCAAGAACCAAGAGGGAGAAAGAGACGGACCCATGTACTTGCCGAATACGACAAATACGATGCGAACCCGAAGGCCTCGCAACTTCGCATCTCGCATCACGCATCACACATCACGCATCACGCATCACGCATCACGCATCTCGCATCTCGCATCCACCCTCGACTTTCAACAATCCATCATTTGGCATGAGACAGCACCTAGCATTGCCGTCAGGCTGGAGAACGCCGAGCCATGGCGTGTTCCTCATCCCATGAGATGCGGAATCGTCTACGGCACCTTGCAGAGGGGCTACTTGAACGACCCTTCGCGCACCACTTGTGAGCCGTCGACCCCCTTCCACTCTACGCCAGACATGCCGACAAGTTCGCCATGGAATCCCTTCTATTGTATCTCTGGGCTCTATTCAACTGCCTCTTTGGCCTGCCTCAAGTTCATCAGAAGCCCCAGACCAGCCCACCGCTCCTACAAGGTCATATACCACCACCACCTGCGCCAGAACCCATCACTGTCATTGAACTCCCGCTGCCACCCGTGGCACCCAACAATTCCGAAGGATCATGCTCATCAAAAGTGAACCCAGCTCGTACGGGCTGCATAGGGAGGACAACGAAACTTCAATCGGGCAACTTTCTCCCCGACAACCTTCACGTCCTGTCCATGGTCCATTTTGTCGGCGCCCCAGCGGCACCTGATCCAGCAAGCATCTTCCAAGGCGAGCAGCTGATCATCATCAAGATTGACGGCACATTCTTCGCGAACGGCGACTCATGGAGATGCATCACATGCGGTGTACCCGACCACAACTCGGTGGGCGCAACATCCAAGCTCGACTACCCCCAGGCCTTTCGCGATGGACGACGAATCCTGGCAGGCGCCAACATCATCCAGGCAGCTCACGGGTTCACGGGTGACGACCTGACGCCAGATCAGGTTCAAATCATACCCATTCGATGGAACACGAGCGTTGACGGTTCTGGGCTTGGCGGTTCCATGCGCGAGCTGCGCCTGCACCCCGACGATGTCCACCTTGGCTGGAGCGCCTTCTCCTTCGATACAGGTTCTCTAGGTCAGTACTGCTACTACGGCCGCCTCGCCTTCAACCCCAGCCCCAGCTCTGGCCTCCCCCTTGCCCCGCGCTACGACCTGACGAGCGTCAACCTGCTCTACGACCCGGCAGCCTCGCAGCCCCTCGCCGTCCACCCAACAGACCCCTCGCGCCTGCTCCTCAACGCGTCCGCCATATCCGTCGGCGAGCTCCGCGGCTTCAGCGCCTCGGGAAAGGAGGTCACCTACGTCGGCAGTCCCTCCGAGTCGTCAAACATTGACGTCTTCGCAGCCGACCTCGTCACCGGCGCCGTCCGCCGCCTGACGAGCCACCCGGAGTACGTCGATCCCGTCGACCTTTCGCCTGAGGGCGGGCCCGACGGCGGAGCGTGGACCGTCGTCATGGACACGCGCGGCACGGGCAGGCAAATGTTCCTCGCGGGCCTCCGTCGCGTTCCGCCGCTGACGGACCTCGTGACAGTCGCCGCCGTGGCGTCGGTGCGCAACAATGGCTGTCGCCGCTTCTTCCAGCCGTGGCTCATCGATCGCCATGGCGACCGCGGGACGTACATGGGGCAGAAGATCAACGCTGCCGGCGACGGGATTCCCGGCGGCGGCGCCATCAATGACCCGGAGTGGAACGGCATGGCTGATCCGAAGTGGTCTGGCGATGGGACCAGGATTGCCTACTGGCAGGCCTTGACGAGGCCACCGGCTTGCGGAGGGGATAATCCGCTGCCGTGCTATGCGTCTACGGCTCGGGGGGGCCGAACTTCGCGGCTGATGGTGGCGCATCTGACGAGTCGGAGGGCCGTGGCGAGAGCGGCGATCGAAGTCGCGGCTGATGTGGTGCCGTGGGGCACCATGTATGTGCCGGGGGCGGCTGCGCCGAAGAGGCTTTTGCCGGGGCCTGGGGCCTACACTCTTCTTGGGCGGGCGGCGGGATGGGCGAACGTGACGCTTGCAGGGAAGCAGATTGGCGGCCCGATTGATGGCGTCAAGGCGGAATATCACGACTTCTCGGACGACGGGGAAAACGTGCTCAGGGGACTGGAGAGGGTAGCCGCTTGGTATTCATCACCTACGACGGTCAACATTGACTGGGAATCGGACATGGAACAGGCAGGACCGGATGCGGGCACGAAGAAGACGAGTCCAGGAGGATTTCATGTGAGAATTGATATCTTGGACAACAAGTTTGAGGCGAATGGAACGTTGACAACCGTGGTTGGAGGGAAGACATACCTGCAGCCAGCCAACGGTACGTAGTTCAGCGGGCATTGCCTGCGTTGATAAGCAGGTAGGGTAGCGAGGCGCTGGTGATGAATGATGAATGGACAATAAACGGCGTGAGCTTGCTTGGATCCGATGTGTAATGAAACATCGCTGGATGTCAATCCTTGTCGCCGAGGACGAACATGAAGTCGACTCTGGTCCTTCTCTGCAGATCTGCATTGAACAGCCTTCCTTGCTTCTCCCCTCGTACACGACATTCCTAACTTCTGACCCTTGATTTTGGGCGTCCTTGACAGTGGCCAGAAGCCGGTCCTTGGAATTCGACCGGTACCCTGTTGAATTGTTCCTCGCTATAGTAGAATTTCACGTAAGGCGACTTTCAACAATGGGCACTTGTGAGGCGAAGACACCTGATAGCTTGCTACTTTCATGATACGTATGCCTGGTAGCTACTCATAACCAGCCGTATCAGAACGCCAGTTCGTCCTGGAGCCATACTCCAAGAGACATTTCCAGAACGCATCCTGAAAAGTCTGTCTGCCAAGCTGCCTCAAGGCCTTCAGCAATACACTCTCTCGCCCTTTCTTGATAGCTCACATCTTTCTCAGTTCAAGACTTTTGCATTCACTTCTTACCGGCATGCAAGGTGTCCATGACGGAAATCTCGCGCTCACGCGTCATGTTGACACCGATGATCTTCCAGGCGAGCAAACCGCCCTCGACATTGCCATACCCTTCCTCCGCCTTATCGAGGAAGAAGTAGCTGAGCACCGGGTCCGAGACCGAGGACGCCTGGCGGAAGAAGCCGTCGGCAAAGTTGGACGTGAAGCGCTGCTCGTTGGCGCTGTAGGGATAGACGTTGCGGACCGCGTCGACGAGACGCTGGTCAAAGTAGACCTGGCCGGCGTGGGTGGCGATGTTGTTCTGGAGGGTGCGGTTCGTCAGGGGGTCGGCGTAATCCGGGTTGTGTGTCATGATGTGAACGTGCGGCGTGCGGCCGCCGTAGTGGCCGGGAAAGATGGAGCCGAACCAGACGGCGCCGTCGGAGTTTGTCGTCGAGATGCCGCGGCCGAACGTGGTCTTGCGGTTCGATGGGTCGAAGGAGTAGGGGACGCCAGAATAGATGCCCGTGGCGTTCGTGTCTGATGGAACATTAGCCAACGTGAACTTCAGAACCTGGCTTCCTATGTAGGATTGCTGAATTGAAAGATAACACTACCGGGTCAAGATGCAGTGCTATTTGTGAGAGGAACAAAATTCAAGCAGCGGTATAGCAGCAGCTCAGAGGGGCGCGACGAAGCACATGACAAGGAAAGAGCTCGGTCACTTACGCCAAATCTCGACATACTGTCCCTCGACAGGCTTGCATGTCTCGGTATCGATTATCTGGAAGTCCAGGTACATCAGAACGCCCTGCTCCCCGTCCTGCAGGTTCCAACGCAGCTTCTCGCCCTCGATATCTACTTTTGTCAGCAAGGGCCACGAAACGGGGGACCAGACAGGCACTCACAGAAAGGACCCTCAGTGGACTCGGGGGTGAGCACACATCCATCGTCGCGCGTCGCAAAGATCTCGCGATCAGTAGACTTCCAGTTGACCGTGTTGTTCTCGTGATCCTTGCGAAGGACGCTAATAATGTCGCGACGGCGCATGTGAGTTTCGACAACGGCGGCACGGCGCTCGATGGCCCGGGCAAGAACACCGTCACGCTGAAGGGTGTCACGGCAATGAGCCAGGCTGGTGGCGTGAGTGAGACTATACTTCTCCAGCTCGGCGAGCTCTTCGGCCTCGTGAGCGCCATGAGCCGAGACGATACTGGCGAGTAGGAAGGCGCCAAGGAAGAGAGTCAGCAGACGGGCACCCATGATGCGGATGCTGTGAGCCATGTTTGTGACTTGATGCCGTCTAAGGTGTTTGAGAACAACTGCACCCTGCGGCAGGTGGTTCTAGCGATGCTGTTTTGTGGGCGATGCAGATTGATGAATGGGATCGGGGTGGTCTGGGGGAGGAATGTAGAGGGATATCGGAATGTGGGAACGCAAGTGCCGAAGTCTGGGGTGCAGCAGCCTGAAAATAAATATGGCAACTTCCCGATTCAGTGTTCAGCGAACTGTGGAATGAAAGGACCAGAACGGAGGGGGGAACAAAATCCAGATGTCTTCACGGAGCATGTCTACCTAAGGTAGCTATACCTAAGCCGAAGCCAATGGAGAGAATAAAGGAAGGCCAGGTCATGCAACGAGATTTAATTCACTACACTAAGAACACACCAAAACTGCAGGACAAGGAACAAAATGGAGGCCATTATGATTATGGAAAGACAACAGAGCGAGCAGTGGCATTTGATGATGATGTAGGATTCCTGTGTTTTGCAGGGCATGAATGTCTGCATACCAACACCTAGCAGATCGTAATCACAGGATGTTATTCCGTTATCATCATTTCAGTTCATTCATCCTCAAGAATACTTCAAGATGGTATGTCCTTCTCTGGGCAGTGTCCATTCCATAAAAGGGTACAACATCAGAATCATGTCTGTATTACCAGCGCTTAGAAGGGATGCAGTTGCAACGCCAGGGTTGAAATTGCAAGTTCTATAGATCTGAACCCTCTAGGTAAACCCTTTAAGGAAGTCGATGGTTGTAGGGGTGCTGGACTGTAGGATATCGAGGAGCTTGGGACAGAAGGATACCAGGTAGCTAAGGCAGAAGCAATATCAGGTGGCCTGCGGAGCTACTAAGTAGGGGTTGGGCGAACTGGGTGGTGGAACGTCCGTCGATCAACTGAAGTATTCGATCTTCGACTTCCGGCTCAGCGCCATGACGGAATTGATAGAGAACCCCCAACGTTCCCGACGAATGTTGGTCAAATCCTCCAAGCGTTCGTCTGAGATAGTTTCAACAAACTCGGCCAGGTAGTCGTCCTGCATGGTGAACATTTCGGCCCAGTCTTCTTGCGAACTGGTGAGCAAGGCAGCCACAGTTGCGAAAACCTGGCGATGAGACGAATTCTTCTTGACCTTGGCCGTTGCTGCCTCCGTAAATCGCTGGAGGAAGTCTTCATTCATTTGTTCAAGAGGCGTCTTCGTGACGAGGGTGCTCCCTTCAATTCGCAGCGCTGATAAGACCATGCCCACGTCCATCGCCGACCAGATGTCATCGCCGAGAATGAACTTCGTTAGAAAGCCGTGGACAAGCACGCCCGCTCCTTGTGAAAGTAAAAATGTTTCTCCGCGCCACGTAATTCGTTTCCAGTGCGTGGTGCCATCGTGACCGGTGAAGTCATGATAATGACTTGATTGTTACTGTTAGCGGGACTATTCCCATGGTCTGACGGGAAATTCTTCCCCGAGGTATTGCGAGGCGTATTCGACTTATCACCCTTGGAGCCCAACGAGCTGGTAGTACTGCTAGTCGACTCAGCTGGTGTTGAAGCCGTGAAGAATCCCCCAAGATGCGCAGTGGGTGACTTCTCTAAAGGTTCAGGGTCTGAGTCGACTTCCTCTACCTTGAAAGGGGCGTTTGTATCCATAGTACTAGCAGTACTTTATCCCTCGACGATAAACTCAAGCCACTCCTCCAAGAGCTTATTTGGCTTCGAGGTCTCCTTGGCAATGCCCTGTTTACTGCCGTATAGCCGTAAAGCGCGGTAGTATCCGTCGTAGGAAGAACGGCCTCTATTCAGTGCTTTGTTTGATCTCATAGATCGCAGGTCTCTCTACCATTTCCAGTTCGGAGGGTAAGGGCAAACGGTGTGTCGTTTCGTTACCGGAAGCACACGTTATGCCGTCGAAACGCCGCAAGACGCCGCGAAACTGATGATCATGGGATATTCGAATGACTGTGGTATAAAGAGGCGCACATCGGTGCAGTGCTAGGGCATTATCGTGGTTGGTCCTTGAAGTATGGGACCATGGGTAGTGAGTGTACAGTGGTGAGTTTGGGTAGTAGATGGCGAATGGTTTTCCTTTCGTTGTGGGCGAGGCATCGAGTGTGGCAGGAGCTTCGTCGTCGATCAATGACTGGTGTCCAATATAAGCAGTGCAAGAGTGCAAAGTATGAGCATCATTCACCGTTTCCATGGAAGGTTGTTGCCTAGCGAAGTGCCACAGAGGGCATGACAATGGGGGCGTCTCTGGCAGCTTGCTAGGACAGTCGACTCGTTTGGGGCGAGAGGTCAAGGCTTCGCCATCTTCTTCGTCGTCACTCAAGCGTTGGCAGGTCGCGACTTTTCACGTGCATCCTCGCTTGAGGCCTCCGTTATATAATAAACTGTATGAAGCAGACTGTTTGCCTGTCCATAACGCAAGTCATCAAACAGAACGCCATCAGTGCGAAGAAAGGACACAAAAGAACAGCAGGCGTAGAAGAAAGAGTAAAAAAGGTTTTAGAGAGCCATCGTTAGAAGACTACTGAAACATCGCAGCATTATTTGGCGACGCACCATCTTCTAAATGGCCCGCTCGCTCCCAAATATCCGGTTGGTTGCGCGCGCGTACTCCATCACACCAGATTTTCCTCTACCACCCCCAGCTCCAACCCAAGGCTGACCATCTGCTGCAAGTGAAAAAGTCTCCCTTTACCGTGAAGACATAGCCTTGGTGACGAGACGCTTAAGAGCGAGCTCCTGCTTCTTGAGGTCCTCAGCCGAGGCGTCGGTGATCTCAAGCTTGGCCATGGCCTCGCTGACCTGCTGCTCAATCTTGTCCTTCTGGCCGCGCTTGAGCTTGAGGGACAGTGTCGGGTCAGAGATGATCTCCTCAACGCGACCGATGTAGGACTCGAGCTGCTGCTTGGCCTCGAACTTCTTGGAGAAGGCCTCGTCGCTGGACTTGAACTTCTCGGCGTCTGTGTAGCGAATTAGCTGCTGTCTGATGCACATGTGAGGGAATTGAGCTGACCGTTGATCATGTTCTCAATCTCGTGAGAAGAGAGCTTGCCGACAGAGTTGGAGATGGTGATGTTGGCGCTGCGGCCGGAGGTCTTCTCGGTGGCGGTGACCTTGAGGATACCGTTGACGTCGACCTCGAAGACACACTCGAGGACTGCCTCACCGGCGCGCATGGGGGGGATGGGAGCCAGAGTGAATTCACCCAGCGAGGTGTTGTCCTCGCAGTTGACACGCTCACCCTGGTAGACGGGGAACTGGACGCTGTGAAACTGTCAGTATAACTGGACTTGCGCTCAGGATTTGGCAAGATCAAAGAAACATACGTTTGTTGGTTGTCGGCAACAGTGGTGAAGGTTCTCTTCTTGATACACGGGACAGTGTTACCGCGAGGAACGACGGGAGCGAAGATGTTACCCTCCATGGCGACACCGAGAGACAGGGGGCAGACGTCGAGAAGCAGGAGGTCGGCGGTCTCGGCGGAGGTGGCCTTGCCGGAGAGGATACCGGCCTGGACGGCGGCACCGTAGGCGACAGCCTCGTCGGGGTTGATGCTCTTCTCGAGCTTCTTGCCGTCGAAGAACTCGGACAGGAGCTTCTGGATACGGGGAATACGAGTGGAACCACCGACGAGGACAATCTCCTCAACGGCGCTCTTCTGGAGGTTGGCATCCTTCAGGACCTGAGCGACGGGCTCGAGGGTGCCGTTGAAGGCCTTGGCGTTGAGCTCCTCGAAACGGGCACGAGTGATCTGCATCTGGAAGTCCTCGCCGTCGAAGAGGGAGTCAATCTCAATGGTGGCCTGGGCACCGCTGGACAGGGTACGCTTGGCACGCTCGCAAGCAGTGCGGAGACGACGCAGGGCACGGGGGTCGTTGGAGATGTCCTTCTTCGACTTGCGCTGGAAGTCCTTCTTGCAGTGCTCGAGGAGGCTGGTGTCGAAGTCCTGGCCACCAAGATGGGTGTTACCGGAAGTGGCCTTGACGGTGAAGACACCACCCTGGATGTTCAGGAGGGAGACATCGAAAGTACCACCACCGAGATCGTAGATGAGAACGTTGCGCTCCTTGTTGGACTTGCCAGCGCCGAGACCGTAGGCAATGGCGGCAGCGGTGGGCTCGTTGATGATACGGAGAACGTTGAGACCAGCGATGGCACCGGCGTCCTTGGTGGCCTGACGTTGGTTGTCGTTGAAGTAGGCGGGGACGGTGATAACGGCCTTCTCAACCTTCTTGCCGAGCTTGACCTCAGCAATCTCCTTCATCTGGGAGGTTGTTAGCAAATTTTCCCTTTGGCTTGTATTTTTTTGGCCCGTTTTGGCACACAAGTGAGACTGACCTTGGTGAGGACCATGGAGGAGATCTCCTGGGGGGAGAAAGACTTGGTCTCGCCGAGGTACTCGACCTCGACCTTGGGGGAACCGTTGTCATCGATGACCTTGAAGGGCCAGGTGTCGGTGTCCTTCTTGACATCGGGGTCGTCGAAGCGGCGACCGATGAGACGCCTGTGGCAAGAACGTCAGCAACCATGTTTCACCGAGGGCTCTTGAAAAGCGGGAGAACAGCACTCACTTGACATCGAAGACGGTGTTCGTGGGGTTCATGGCAGCCTGGTTCTTGGCAGCCTCACCGATCAGGCGCTCCTTGTCGGTGAAGGAGACGAACGAGGGCGTGGTGAACGAACCCTGCTCGTTGGCGATGATCTCGACATTGGTACCCTCGTACGTAGCAACGCAAGAGTAGGTGGTACCTGGAAGGGCGATGGTCAGCGAAGGCTCTTTTTGGTACTGGACGCATAGGGTTGTTCTGCTGGCCCAGGAATCCGCAAGTCGACTGCGAAAACAAATCGAGGCCGAGCCGAGGCGGTGGGCGCCGGTAGACAGGTATACAACAAAGACGAAAGGGCGCAGCATAGTATCACAGTTACGTACCCAGATCGATGCCAATGGCACCGTCGTAGACTTCGTCAGCCATGATGATAGATGTGTGATGGGGGGGGGGGAGGATGGGGAGGTGAGATGTTGTAAAGGTGAGGCGGCGCGCGGGGTCCAGAGACAGGCGTAGAAGTAAACGACGGTCGGATGGGCCCTTTTGAATTTTTTGGTTCGGCGGCTGGGGTGGACCAGAAAAAAAAAGTGAGAATTTGGTGCTCGGGGGTGTTGCCGGGTGGCCAGAGCGCTCAGAACTTTTTGCCATGCGCGGGGCTCAGAAGTGCGATTCCAGTGCGAACCCTCTGCCGTGCTAGACCGCCATTGGTTGGCAGTTGCCCGCCGCCCCCAACCCTCGCCTATCTTATCGCTGCCCCACGCTCAGATTCTTTCTTCCTTCACCGAGGCCTGGACTCACCGATTCCATGAATCGCCGCACCTTGAGCCGACTACCTAATCACGAATAACCTACGACGTACATAGGTGCTGCAGGTACCAATAACGCGCCGCATCTTCTGGGTATCCGAGGGCCTATATCTATGGTGAAGCCGCGCATCCGTCAATCGCCACGCTCTTCGACAGTTACCATAGTGCCTGTACAGGGTCCCCATGATGCACGATAGCCCACGCCAGAAACAGTGCTACAATCATGGTCCCCAGGTATCGCCAAAACTGCCCCGCAAGCGACCTTACACCCCCCTCGTCCTTCGCCCTTTGCTTGGCTGCCCACTCCGATAAGCCGATTCTGTGCTCCTTCTTCTCGTCCATGTCATCCTGGAGTCCATGATAGTAAACAGCCCGCTTCTGTTGGAGTCGCACCTTCCAGTATCCGTCTGGACTTAAGGTGTACCGCCACGCCGATGGTGCGATGGCGATCATGACTCTCGCACGACGGGGCTTATGGGAACCCCTTTTGCGGCCATACTGTTCAACCCTCTTCAGCGCCTTTCGGTAAACCCAGTCGTCAAAGTTTTCCGTATTGCTTGATGGAAGATCGCACTCCCCTGGCGTCGGCCAGTCAAATTCGATGATGGACACAGACCGGCGCATGCACACAGCAAGCCACGCTGTGAACGCTACTATGCCGTGGATCTGCTGGTGAATCTCGCCTATGGAGGCTACCTCATCGATCCTTGTCTTTCTTATCCAGGCGATGACCGGTAGAAACGCTCTCGTGATGCCAATGGCCGTCTCGTCGACCTGCTCCCAGAACAGTGGGGGCGCTCGACCTTTCAAAAACAGATTGATATACTCGGCGCGCAACCGTGTTCGCCCGAATCCTGTCAGACTGATTAATACTGGTCTCCCACTTTAAGACATGACATGTAGTACCTTCTTCGTTGATAAGTGTGTCGTCCTGTTCAATCAGGATTTTCATCTGCTCATTACTGGCGCCGAATAGGAGCGACTTGAAAGTCATTTCATGTAGCATCCTGTTCATCACTGCTGTCAAGTAGTGCTGTGTTTCCCTCTCGAACAGGAGTAGTGTATCCCATGGATACTTGAATAACGGGTCAGGCTGAGCTACTAAGGACGTGTATTGCTCCAACGTCATGTCGCCCGGATCAGCTGTCGGTATCGACCAGGGCGAGACCTCGTACGGCATACGTCTTGGACCGAGGACCAGGGTTGTTTCCATGAGGGCATAGATTTGCTGGAGCATGAGCAGGTATTGATCCTCGAAGAAGAAATCATCCAAATCATCCGTTGGCATGTCCCATTTCAAGTCTCGACGTTCAGGGCGAAAGCCATGGAGATTGTTGATGTCAGGGGCTCGATTTGCATAGCGAGATTGATCTGCTGACGGAGACTTGAGGCTCCCCTTCCGACCACCGGACAGAGACTGCGAAGTCTGCCCCGAGGAATCGCGGTCCCGGTTGCTCATTTTGATGCTGAGCTTCTTCTTTGGTGCTGCTGTGCTGGCCAATGCTTGTTGTGTAGGTGTAGGATAGGAGCTCTCTCGTTGATGGTAAATGACACTCAGATTCATAATTCAAGTCAGACAGGGCTGTCACAATTTGACTTGGGGGTCTTCTAATTATGAGATTTCACCTCGACCTCTGGCAGCATATGCTTTGCAGTGTACTGTTCTTGGACGATGGCTGATGGAAGCGTGGCCCGAGTCTTTGTCCGGAGTGAGGTTCACATTGCACTCAAGGCGGTTCTCTTTGTTCCCACGAGTGCCCTTTGGCCGGACTGGACCCGAGTAAAGGCATTCTTTCACCTGAGAATTCCACACGAAAAGGGAGATCGATAGTCAGAGGATGAGTCTAAGGCAACGAACAAAGGCGATGAATGAAGCATCTCATGGTGACTAGTTCCTCAAGCCTTGTCGATTCCACGATCATAGGGTCTTCGATGTACCACGGTATGTCCTTCTTCACGGGGCTCACAGTCTGGGCTTGACAGACAAGACTCAGACCCCCAATTTCACAAGAGCATAGGTCAATCAAGACCAGTTTGAAGGTATCATCTGAAAAATAGGGTGGGCAAGATGACTGCGGGGCAAGGAAGAAATCCCACACAAAACTTCTTCACATACAAGCTGTTCATTCATGTAGTAAACACAACTTTAGCGATGCACTGGGAGGCCTGCAAACCTGTATATCAAGGTTATGGTGGAGTTGTCGGAGAAATTACCACGACCCCAGATCCATCTCCAGCAAGTGATGTCCAGGGCTCCAAAGGCAGTCCACGAGGTCCCACTGCATGACATAAGCAACTTATCGTGGGCACCTGTGTGCGCGGGCCATGGGCTGGCCGCACCGTGCCGCTTGGGCACTTTTTTTCGCGACCACTCGACGAGAAGCAGCATCCTGCGCAAACGGTAAACCCCAATCTCAACCTCGTCATCGCAACTACCTCAACTCGACCCCTCCCCCATCAAGACCCTGTACTCCGACTGCCTGGTGCATAATCGGATACCTCACGAATAAGGAAGCAACGAATCAGCTGTCTTTCCTCCACGTCACATCACGACCCCTTGGTGTACCCCACCGACACTTCCTCGAGGCTTCGTACGAATCGCAAGTCTTACCTCGACGACCTGCCTGATCCCTTGGCCCGCCGTTCGACTTTCGATCCCGTCTTCATCACATCCAAACTGTCTTGTGGATCTGACAAGTCATCTCCCTAAGGTGTATCGACCACATCTGGCGGCCGCGCACCCATCCCACCCATCCACCAACATCACACACAAACTGCCCAAGATGGCTGTTGTCGAGAATCCCACGGCCAACGAACAGGTCGACCTGACCACTATTCCTGTCTCTCCTGGCGGCGACAAACCCGAAGGTGGTGTCACCAGCTCCAGCGACGATGTCAAGACTGTCTTCCACGACAAGGAGAACTTCAACGTCAAGCACCCCCTCCAGAACAAGTGGACTCTCTGGTTCACCAAGCCACCCAGCGGCAAGGTTTGTCGCTCTCCATCAATGATTCTCATGGTTTTGGCTGATATGCTGACCATTTTATGCAGGGCGACAACTGGAATGATTTGCTCAAGGAGGTCATCACCTTTGATTCCGTGGAGGAGTTCTGGGGCATCTATGTACGCAATACCCTTGACACGTCCACGGCCAGCCAACCATATCTGACCTCTTGCAGAACAACATTGCGCCCGTCTCCGAGCTGGCCCTGAAGTCTGATTACCACCTCTTCAAGGCCGGCGTCCGTCCCGAGTGGGAGGACGCCCAGAACAAGCACGGCGGAAAGTGGTCCTACCAGTTCAAGGAGAAGCGTAACGTCGCCATTGACGACCTGTGGCTCCATGTCATGCTCGCTGCCATTGGCGAAACCCTGGAGGATGAGGAGGATGGCGAGGTCATGGGTGTCGTCGTCAACGTTCGCAAGGCCTTCTTCCGTGTCGGCGTCTGGACTCGCACCATAGGAAAGAGCATTCCAGGCCGTGGCGACGGTGATGTGGCCGGCGGCAAGGGCCGCACCCCCGAGAAGGGCAAGAAGGTCCTCCTCGAGATTGGCACCAAGTTCAAGCAGCTGCTTGACCTCCCCGCTAACGAGGCCGTCGAGTTCTCTGGCCACACCGACTCTGCACACAGTGGTAGCAGTCGTGCCAAGGCTAAGCACACGGTCTAAAGAGGCTGCCGCAGGCAGCGTAAGAAATGAATTTTTTTGCAGTTTTGCGACGCGGGACGGGGGGCATCCTTCTCATACCCGTCATCGAACTCTGATCATTGTCTTTGTCTCGCAAGGCTTTTGTCCGCTCGTCGCCGTACGATAGGATGCGGAACCTTGCAGAGCCATTTGCAAAGAAGAAAATTCTGTGTCGTTTTGGGCGGGACGAGTTATTGGAGGGCATGGCGTTCCCCCTCGGCATGGGGTCTTAATCAAGGGCAGATTCGGGGGGTGAGACATCCATCACCTCTCGGCATGATCTGCCTTGTACTTGCTCAAGGCGTTGCCCTGGACCAGATAGCTTTTCAGCTTTGGTAGATGGCCACGATCGATAGTACATAAGCAGGGGAGAACCCAATAGATACCTAGATCGGCCACAATTGCGTCTGTAACCTTGCGGCTTTAGAGGAGTCATTGAAACAACGGCAATATCTATCGTTTGGGTACATCATGTTACATGCTAATACAAGAGTGGTCTACACCAGTTTTCTTTACAGCTCATCGTCGCTGAATTGGTCCGCAAACACCTCCTTGACCAGTTCCTTCTTATTAATCTTTCCCATGGCATTTCTGGGAATGTGGTCCACAACCTTCAGGACCTGCGGGATCTTGTAGTTGGCCAGTCGTCCCCGCAGTGCCCGTCTCATGTCCATCGGCGACCACGTCTTGCCCTCGGGCAGCGCCTCCCTATCAAGGATGACGACAGCGCCGACTTTCTGCCCCCACTTGCCAGAAGGGACGGCGACCACGGCCGCCTCGGCAACCACGTCCAGCGTCAGCAGCTCACGCTCGACTTCGAGGGCGCTGACCTTCTCGCCGCCCGTCTTGATGATGTCGGCACTCTGGCGGCCCTGGATGAAGTACATGTCCCCCTTTGCCCAGGGCTGGTCTGCAGCGCCGGCGCCGGCGCCCTCGACGCCCGTCGCACGGCGACATCGCCCGTCTTGAACCAGGGCCCGCGGCCGTCGGGGTCGGCGACGAACTCCTTGGCGGTGGCGGTAGGGTTGCGCCAATATTCCTTGAAAATGGTCGGTCCGCGCAGCTGGATTTCGCCGGCGCGTTCGCGGCCCTCGGCATCGATGCGGTCGCCCTCGTGGATCACGGCGCCCGTGTCGGTGTCCACGAGGCGGGCCTCGACGGAGGGGAGCGGCCAGCCGACGGAGGCGTCGACGCGGTCAATGGGGGCGAGGCCACAGGAGAGGGCCATGCCGACCTCAGTCATGCCGTAACGCTCGAGCAAGACGTTGCCGCGCGAGAGGCGGCGCCAGGCCTCCTTGACTGGGGTCGGCAGGGCGGCGGAGCCGGAGATGGCGAGGCGCATGTTCTGTGGGGAGACGGCTTCGCGGGTGGGCTCGACGAGAGCTTCGGGGAGAGACTTGTGGGAGGAAAGGAGGCGGGAGTAGACTGTGGGCACGACGGTGAAGAAGGTTACCTTTTCCTTCGCGGGGGACGTGGAGGCGTTCGTAAAGGGCGCGGCGAGCCGGTTCCAGACAGCATCAGGGTTGAAGGGGAAGAGAAACTCGATGGTGCTGCCGGCAAAGAGAGGCGTCAGGAGAGCGTTGATTGTGCCGTGGATGTGGTGGAGAGGGAGGACGTGAAGCAGGTGATCTTGGGGGGTGTACTCCCATGCCTCGATCAAAGACTTCGATTGCGCTGTGAGGACAGACTGGGGCAGCAAAACACCTTTCTACGGCTTGTTAGTCTGGCGAGACGGGAGATAGGCCTGTAGGTCTCCGTACCGGTCTATTTGTCGTGCCAGAAGTATATAGCATCATGCCAGCATCGCTGGGGTCGGAGCCTTCCAGCTGGACTGCTTCGTGGGCGGCGCCTCCCATGTGCTTTTGCAGTTCGAGTTGCGCTGGCTTTGACGCCAGGTTGGTGGCGAGCACGTGGCGCGCTTTTGCAGAAAACTTGGAGGATGATACGAGTAGCGAGGCCTCGCTCTGGTTGAGGATATACTGGAGCTCTGCCGCGGGGAAAGCTGGCGAGAGCGGTACGGCTATTGATCGAGCGGCGAGAGCGGCGAGCAGCGTCACTGGGAAATGCGCCACGGTCAGTCTTTGATCATCGGAGAGTACTTGTCTTGTTCTGCGCAATCTTACCTACGTAGTCATAGCTATTCTCTACAAGGAAAGCAATGCGCTCGCCATCCAACGCCGGCTTCCCTGCTGCGGCCTGCAGTTCATCGCGTGCCCTGCGAACATCTCCCAAGAGTTCGCCGTATTGAAACCTCCTCCCAGACAATGAGTGGATAACAGCTGTCGAATGGGGGTCGTGGCTTGCGATGGCCTCGAATATGGGGAGTTTCGGCAGGGTGGAGGCCATTCGGACTGATCGTCGTGGAGAGGCGACGGATGGTAACAGTGTTATACAGGAAGGAGGGGACGAGAGAAGAAATCGACGACATTGCCGCCGCGCGACATGCGTCCAGGTTGATGACGAGAGCATGGCGGGGGTGACCGAGGGATGGAGCATGCAATTCCAATTCGCATGGAAGTGTATCACAACAGGGGAGGAGTGGATAGAAGAATCCTTATTCGGGCATTGAGCTGCATCGACGAGGTGGGACGGCGGCGGACGAGTTGGCTCCTCGCTTTACCATTAGGACTCTACAATTGAAAGTCGAGGGCGTAGCGACGTCTGGAGGAGCTGGAATTGGAGCTGAGCTGGAGCTGCCAAGTTGAGGTGGAGGGGCAGCAGATGCAGAAGCATAGGTAAGGTACCTACAGTTAGCAGGCCAGAGGAGAGGTGGGCAGCAAGAGAGCACCGTATAGAAGCTGCCTCAGGGAGGTACCTAGGTTGGTACCTTACTGTACCTCGTGCACAGCAGACGATCCGAATTGACAACTCCCCGCCCCAGGCAGGGCAGGAGAGCTCGAGCCTCCATCTGCAGGTGCGGTGCGGCGGCAGAACAGTGACCGCCCGGGCAAGCTCCCCGGGAACGCAGACCGCTAAAGTGAACCAACTCACAGGCCCCCGCCCGCCTGCCGCTGGCACAACCCAGCTCAACGACACGCACACTGAGGCCCCTTCCGCGCCCCGGCCCTGACAAGCCCTGCAAGCCTAGCCCACGACGGCGACGGCCGTGGAACAAACAAGGAGCCCACCCTCCACCAGGTTGCAGGCCCACCAGGAGTGTGTTGTCCAACCGGCGGCATCGGAGCTCACAACGCTGGGAATGACGTGTGGACCAGCACCCCACCAGCTACCGACCGGAAGGGACAACGCGCGTGCTTCCCCGCTGATTGGACCTCGTTCAAGGCACCATCTGCACCTTGTGCGCCATGCTGCGACCCCAACATTCAGCGGTCAACACCTACACCGAACTTTCGGTGTCAACCTGTCCTTGCAAATTCTCTGCCGTCCCAGTCAACCCCGTCGATTCCAGCTCTGAAAGGGCGGGATCGCTTGCTTGGGGTCTCCTGTCAGGCCGACACACAGCTCCTAGTCCTTTGCACGCTGCGCAAGAAACCTGGACCTGGCTACTCGTGCTCGATATTTCTTCTTCGCGTACCTTGCCTACGCATCCCATCCCCCTCCTCTTCCTCCCCCCCCCCTTCTTCTTTCCCTTCCCTCCCCCTTCTACCATTATCCTTATGAGTTTCTTCCTCACTCCTCTGCTGGGACGGACTGCACGATCTGCTACCGCTATCGCCACCACCGCTACCTCCGCCGTCTCCCAGACCGTCCCCATCGTCGCCGTCCTCAGCAACTCGGCCAGCAGACTCGCCGTCGCCGCTGCCGCCATCACCACGCCGGCCCATATCCCGACCTCAATGTTGCGAAGGTACGCCCTCGGTTTCTCCAGCGCCGCGAGGCCCCTATCTACCATGTCGTCTACCACACCGTTGGAAGACGCGATCCGCTCTAAGGTACGGACGGCACGACCCAAACACCCAACTCTTGTCTCGAACTAGCGGGGGTTCCCCTCCCCTTGGGCTAACCTTGCACACCTCCCAGCTCACCGCAGCTTTCTCCCCTGCCACTCTTGAGATTCACAACGACTCCCACCTCCACTCCCACCACAAGGCCATGGTGGGGAACACATCCAAAGAAACCCACTTCAGGTAGGAGCGAGCCGTTCCCCCCCTCCCCCCCTTTACCAAGAAGTTGCATACTGGACCCCTACTGCAAAATATCATGCGGCGTGCGGCTAACATCAGACGAAATATCCAGGCTAGTCATCGTGTCCGACGCCTTTAAGACCAAAATGCAACCTGCCCGCCACCGCATGGTCTACGCGCTCCTTCGCGAGGAGCTCGGCCAGGAGAACGGCATCCACGCCCTCCAGCTCAAGACCTTGACGCCCGAGGAGGAGGAGCGTCACAGGGCCAAGGCTGCCGCCAAGGCTCAGGAGGCCGCCTCCGAAACCTGAGCTCTCACAACAAGGGAAGAGCAGCTCGTTGATTTTGACGGCGATATGGGTTTGATGAAGGGACACGGGGATCCTTCTCGTCAGGGGTACTGGCGGGTGATTGGGAGGGCGGAATCGGGCATGACGAAACAATACGAAATTGCACATGACACAACGGCGCAGGGCTATGATATCCTCTTCTTGGGGCCTCTCTTCTTTTTTTCTCTCTCCTTATCTTCCCTCCTTTTCTTTTCTCAACTTCTGACACGTACAATTTGTGCAAAAAGAGCTCCCTATCCTGGTTCAATTCGGCAGAGACACAGACTGCGGTAAGAGTAAGGCAAACAGATACGTTTTCGGGGGCTTAGATAACCGCTGCAAAGACTCCTCGGGGAGCAGGTTGTGCAACTCGCACTAGATCCAGGCTACACTTACACTGGCTGCCCAGGCAAAGCAAAAAAAAATAGACTTATTCGCTTTTGGTATTACGATGAATCGCCCGCCGAGTAGGACACGCAGCAGTGGGAACGGGAGATTCACGAAGGAGGGCTCTGGTAGAAAATGGGGGTCGGCCATGAGTCATGTCTGATTTCTATCGCCATGCTTTCCAAGGAGAGAAACCAAACTCCCGAGTTCATACGGAGGGGTATCTTCATAACTAAAATTCGAGAATTTGTGCGCCCAACTTCTGGCAATTCCAAGCGTCTGCCACAGGTTCCCCTATTCCATCAAGAATGACTGGTTCTCGACCCCGCCATGCCTGGCAAACGCCCCGCGGCCTTAAGTTTCTCAAGTTTGAGCCGGTACTGCTCGGCTCGAACCGACTGCTTCTTCTGTTTCGAAACCCCGCTCTCCTGAGTCAATGTTGGGAGGCGGGACGCTGAAGGGCGGCTGCTCGACGGGCGCGACCCGGACGGAACCTGCGTCTCTCTGGACCTCGCTGCTGAGTCCGCCGGCTTGTTGGCGTGCGGTGTCTGTGGTCGTGCCGTTGTCCCGTGGTACGTGAAGCTGCGGGGCAGCGCACGCGACTTGGCAGCGACCGTTTGTGGTCGTTCGAGAGTTTCGTGAGTCGGAAGTGGCTCCACGGCTCGATACAACCCACTCGCAGTCGTCGTGTGGTGTCTCTGGGGCGGCAGGCTCTGCCGCGAGAGAGTTGCGCGTTGTGAAACGGGCGGGTTTGTCTGGCCGCTCCCATCCAGGGAGTATCGGAGGGACGCCTTGCCGTTTGATTGGCTCGTGTTTGGCCCTCCGTCATCGTCATGGCGCGCCTGCTGTGATGGAGTAGCTGCCGCTATCAACCCTGGACTGCTTCGTCCAGGCGTGGCCTTTGTGTGCGGCGATCGACGACGGTCCTGCTGCCTTGGCGTGGACTTCGTACCGTCTGCCTTTTTGACACTTGAAATAATCACAACGTCTGCGGAAGATGAGCGACACTCGCGGCTTGCACGAGCCGGCGTTTCTTCAACTCCAGACGTTGGGTTTTCGCTTGCCGAGACGTATGCTTCAGTTCCGGAGTCTGCAGACCGGTCTGATATAAGTCTTCGCGGAAAGGGCGAGGGGGAGACATCGACGGCAGCGTCAGATGTTCGCAGACTTCTCTGGACATCGTTGCCGGTCTTCGCTGATGTGTCAATAGGCTGCGGCCCCAAAGATTGAGGCTCCGGAGGATCGACAGCCATGAAGAATGACCGATCGCCAGCATTCGTCATTGGTGTATGCGAGCGAGACTGGCCCAGGGCTTCTCGGATGGCATTGTACTCGTCGGGATACATTTTCAGCACCCGGTCGATATTGTCCTTGGTTAAGATGCCTTTCTGGTAAATCGGTTTGCTGACGTTGTCGACGTACCACTCCATGGCATACATGGGGCGAGAATCGTCGGTCTCAGAAACGTACTGGATATAGTCGTCGCAGAAGACGCGCACAAAGTCATCGTACAAGAACACAGGGAGTCTCCTTTCGCGACGGAGGCTTTTGAGGGAGACGCAGGCTCTGACGAAGTCCCCCAGGCTACCGTCAAACGACCGATACGCTGACTGGAACGTTTCGAGGGGCTCCAGCAGGAACCGCTCTCTGAAGTCTGGCCCGTCAGTGAATGTATTACGCGCTGGCTGTGCTGAAAACTCGTGGACTAGATTGCCCGCAACACTTGCGGACAAGGCTTGGTGGGGTTGACGTGTTTCCGTCTGCGCTCTTCTATAAGCTTCTTGGTTTGCTGTTGACGACAAGCCAGTAGTGGGTATATGGGGGGTAGGTATCCCGGATGAACCTTGCCCGGCAGTGGATGGCAGTTTTTGGCCCTGCATCACTTCCGTATTTGGAAATGTAGAGGTAATGATGCCAGCTGAAGAAGTTTGCCCGTGGTCCTGCTCGGTGCGCTTTGGCATTTGTGTTTTGGCTACCGTCGCTGGTGTATCGTTGATCGTGGCAGAAGCGGGAACATCAGGGCCGTCACTGAATTGAAGAATCTTCCAGCGTTGTCTGGGTGGATTTGCGCTTTTGGCTTGTGTCCCGGCGGACGCAGAAGTTAGCCGGCCGGCACTGCCTTGTCCGCATGGAGGCGGCGTGTCCAGGACGATGCCTTGAGACGCGTTGATTCGCGCCGATATCTTGTTGATTGGAGGTGTGGCGTGGAGTAATGCCCCTGGTATTTCCATTTCCATGTCCATGTCATCTTCATGATCGAGGCTGCTGGGTGGGAATGAAGCAGGTGGCAGTGTCTGGTGTGCTCGTGTCAGAATGGGGCTTGACTGGACCTGAGCCTTTTCTTGCGATTCGAGCATTGTGTTGTTAGATTTTACGGGAGATGAAGTAGATTCCACGTCGAACAACGGCGCTTGTGTTTGGAAAACGTCACGCGGGTTCTCATTCGAGGCGCTGCTGGCAACCGCCGGCCTTTCAAGCGTATTTGGTGTCGGGGACCGCCGTCTTCGGTACGAAGGTGATGAGGGTGGGAGAGGTACAGATCTAGCAGAAGATTCGGCCTGGCTCTTGCCGTTTCTGCGGTCGATAGATTGTTGGGCTTTATGAACCTGTGGTGGAGGTGGACTCGGTGACCAGGACACCTCCGACGCGTTGCTTTCTGCTTCACTTCCATCTTCCTTATCGATGTCGGGCTCTTTTGTTGACCCACCCTCGACCTTGTTGGCTTCGGCTGTGCTCTTTGGTGCCGAAGCGCCTGACGATAGTGGCTTTTGCGCCCCAGGTGGCAGGACCCTGGAAGATTCGAAGTACCTTAGAGATTCCAGCACATGAGGAGGGATGTTGACCAAACCGATGTTGCTGCTCGCAGAGCTTTCCGCCCAAGCATCTGGCCGTTCCAAAAGTTCTTGTTGATCCTTGGGTATGCGAAAGAGGTTCATCGAGAGAGCAGGGCCTCGTTGCTTGCGTCCGGAGGAAGAAACTGGAGGCCGCGACGATGAGTGGGACCGGGAAGGAGCCATGATCCTGGAGCTGACTGGTTCAACCCCGAAGAAATGCTGAGCATCACGTCTGATTCAACCAGCTTGGATGCTGTCGCTTGTCTGTCGAATTATCTTTTGGACCCTCATGCCAAACGATCGAATATGGAGATCGCTGGGCGACACGTTGGTTGGGCGAAGCTTTCGGTCGCGTCGCGTCTGATGGACCCACTTTGTCCACTGTAGCTGTTACTTTTAGGTACCTACCTACTTACCGTGTCATGGGTATTTCGGGTGTCAGCATTGTCTGCCGTGTGGCTGATGACTGGGCTGAAGCCAAAGCGCCCGCGGGGTTTGTCTCTTGGTGCTCACCCCTCCTGGCCCAAGCTTCCCATGACCTAAGCCCCTGTAGAGCACGTTCCCTCCATCAGATTACTGGCCCATGACTCCCGGCCCACGCACCCGAAGGTGGTAGTTGTCGTCGCTCTCATAACCGGGGTTCGTTCAACCTGGCGGCTCAGGGATGTTGCTGCCTTGGTACATGTTCTTCGAAACCGATGCTGACAACAAGCCGCCACCACCCAGGCTCACAAGACGACGCGAACACAGCTTGAAGATCTTCGTCGCAGGTTGAGACAGCACAGAACACCAACTTACGGCCACATTCCACGAATAAGCGCCTCGTTTCTTTCGTCATCCTCATACCGTCGAGTGACCAGGCATTGTCTTGTACCTGAGTACTTAGATCACCGAATCTCACGACAGACCGCTTCGCGACGCTACCGCTGCTACGACCGATCCACAAACAAGGAGTCATCTGTTCTGTGATACAATCTCCCAGTTTCTTCGAGTACCTTGTCGCCATGAGAAATCAAACATGACCTCAACGCGCCCGACCTTTTGACTGCCGCGATCCAGTCGACATGGCTCCCAACAACAACCCCTCGTCGCCCGCCAGTTTGGCGTTGGCACTCCCCGACCTGAGACGGCCTCGACGCGACTCTGTGGCCTCGATATCGACTACTTCACAAGTCGACAAAGAGCAGCTAGCCCAAACTCTTAACAAGATACATAATTCTGCCAGTCAAAGCGACACCTTGACGACCTTCAACGACTTCGGGCCACCCCCATCTACCTTGCCGATTGCCGAAAATAAGGGACTCACCGGAGACTTGGTCCAAAATGGCTTCAGTGGGCTGTACAACAGGTTGAAGGAGGCTGTGGGGGGTGCTCCTTTGAGGATGCCGGACGTGGACGAGGACACCCCCAGTATTGCTTCCAAGAAAAGCTCGTCAACTACAAACACGGCTCCGAAACCAACAACGGCGTCACTTCACCGCGGCGAAACTGCTGGCACAAGCTCGAGCTTGGTCCTGCCATCCGATGGTCTCCTCACCAGCCTCTCTAGTTCTGGAGCCGTCCTGCCCGAAGCAGACAGTCCTCTACAGACTCCCATGTCTAACAAATCAACCGCCATGTCTGTCATGACAACCTCTAGATCTACCACTTCGAGCAGACCCGCTGCTGTGAGCATGCCCAAAGCATCGGCTGTCACTGCAGTTACACCCGATGTCGCACCTGCTTCTGTGCACCGAGATCCTAGTCAGCAGACTGTTCGGTCAGAGGACACTCTTTTGCGGACGTCTGAAAGACGTAGCATCAGCAAGTCGGATGCGCGTGGGCCGATATTCGCAGCAGAGAATGCCAGCCTTTATGAAGACTTCAAGGCCACCTCTGAGCGAGCACAAAGTCAAAGTACCAATCGTTCACGGAAAGATGACGTGGTCAGCGTGGATGGCAGTGTTGACACACCTCTGAGCCCGACAAAATCCGTCACACCATCTCTGCCCTCTTTAAAGACCGACCTGCGCCACGTGCGAACTCCTTCTGGCGGCTCGTTACTATCAGCCCCAAGGCGGCCCGCTGTGATCAATAGAATCACACGTTCTCGGTCTCCGGCCTACGCTCACTCGAGAACTTCTTCGATGGACCAGGGAACCGCAGAGCCCAGCCCAGTCAGCACCTCGGCGCACACGCCGATATACCATGAATCATTTGCTCACGAGTCGAGGCCTCAACAGATGAGATCTGGGGCCATGCGCATTCCTGGTACGACAAGAAATGAGGGAGCTCCAGAAGAGGTCAATACGAAACTCGGATTGATGCGAAAGCAGATTCTGAGCAAAGAGTTCTGGATGGCCGACGAGACCTGCAAGGAATGTTACTCTTGCCAGCAGCCGTTTTCTGCATTTCGGAGGAAGCATCATTGTCGGGTCTGCGGTTTCATCTTTGACTCGAAATGCACGTCGATCATTTCAGCCCAAATGTTTGCCATGTCGGGGACTTTGAGGCTCTGCAAACCATGTCTCAAGGTGCTCAACCAAGTTGAAGACAGTGCCTCGGACGACTCAGGGGACGACTCTTTCTTGCCTGCCATCTTCCGTCCGAACCATGCCAAGGCTGAGGCTGAGGTGACAGAAGTCGATGTGGAAGGCGAAGAGACAAGCTTTGCTGGTAGGATGGAGGATCTCGACGATGCCCGATCTATATCAACGCCAATGATGGCCATCCCAGCGACCAGAAGGATAGGAATCGACGATTCGAATCGGAGATCAGCCATCCTAGAAATCGACGCCCCGCAGCTCAGCAGACCCAGCTCCTCCCGATCTCTCAAGTCACTCAACGCAGCAAGGCCTCAATCATCGGGTCTGGGCCACCGGAGACATCACTCGAGACAAAATTTCTGGTCGAGATTCAAGCCCATTCCAGACAATACTGCTCCTTTCCGCAAGGACGTCAATGAGGAGATGACGCGCAAACAAAAGTATCCGGCATTTCACGAAGACAACATTATCGACCCAGAACTGGCAGATTATATGTCAGACGAATCAAGTGGAGACGAGCAAATGAGCATGTTCGCAACCATGTCGAACAGCGATCTGCAACCTTCAAGCTTTGATCGGGAGAAGAGCAACTTTGGCTCATTCATTGGCGCGACTAGAAAGCATCGCTTCCGAGGAGGAGAGAAAAGTCTCAGCGGCATCAGCTTCACCAGTCGCGGCGGCCCCGACGACACCGGTCTTGGCAGTCTTGCTGGTCATATCCGATCATCTCGCCGGCGCAATCTCAGCAACGTGAGCGGCAACGTACATTATCTTCGCTCTCCGAGACCAAAATCATCCGCGCTCAAAGGACCTACGATATCTAATGACACTATTTTCTCGCCAGAGAACCCAGCGATTGAGGCAACAAAGCTCACTCGTAGCGACTCCATGCAGGAAGAAGATAAGGAACCGCAGGTTGAGCTCAACTCTTCCAGCATGCTGCATGTGAGAAAGTTACTCCATCAACTTTTGGAAGATTCCAGAGTACCCAACGCCTCTGCTTGGGAGAAGGCACTGATTCCTATTCTGCTTCAATGCACTGACGATGTTGTGCCTGATATTCGTGCTGGCGATGACATGGACATCCGCCACTACGTCAAGCTCAAAAAGATTCCCGGCGGCAAACCAGGAGATACCAGTTACGTGTCTGGCGTCATATTCACCAAGAATTTGGCTCTCAAAAGCATGCCACGCCGAATCGTCAATCCACGCATCGTTATTGTGTCCTTCGCAATTGAGTATCAGCGCCATCACCAACATTTCATGAGCTTACAGCCTGTTATCGAGCAAGAAAAAGAGTATCTGAGGGTTGTGGTAAATCGCATCATCAATTTGCGACCTGATGTACTGTTGTGCGAGAAGGGCGTTTCAGGTGTTGCTTTGCAATATCTAGCTGAAGCCAACATTGCCGTGGCCTACAACGTCAAGCCATCTGTGACATCGGCTGTGTCAAGATGTGCCGAGACCGACATCATCACTTCTCTCGATCGCTTGGCCCTTCAGAATCAGGCTGGCCGATCAGCTGGTTTTGAAGTGAAGACTTATGTCAATAAAAGCTATCCTGGGAAGAAAAAGACCTACATCTTCCTCTCGGGGTGCGCCGAACGGCTGGGATGCACGATAGCCTTGCGCGGAGACTCAACTCAAGTCCTCGCCAGGATGAAGAAGATTACCGAGTTCATGGTATATGTGGTTTACAACCTGAAGCTCGAAACGTGTCTCATGCGGGATGAATTCATTCAGTTGCCATCAGAAGGCGAGCTTCCGTCCCTACAATCATCTATCCGCCAGCAAACCGATGAAAGCTCAAGATCAATGAGCATGTCAGGCGAGACGGGCCGACTTGGATCGACTGCATCCCAGACGTCCCCGATGGAGTCTGAGCCACCGTCGCAGACAAGCCAGAGTGTTTCTTTTACCGGATCAGCAGGAGCGCACTCCGATCAGACGGAAGAGCAGCGACCGGCGGAGCCCGTACGAACTGTCTCTCTCCATGCCTCGCATGTTGCCACTGAAGCTGCCGACACGCACGTACCTGAGGACGTCCCAATGCCGACCTATTACAGCGATATGGTAGCCAGATACGAAACCAAGATCCTATCAGCTTCCCCTTTTGTACGATTTGCGCAACCACACTTGTTGATGAAGGCGCGAGAACAAGAGCGGAGGCTAGTGTATCTCAAGCGTCTACGGGACCAAGACGTTATTGAGGAACAGGCAGATCCTGAGAAGAGATCACAGAAGTTTCAACTCATCAAGCCTGAGATGGTCCATGAAATCGGCCAGAAGGCGCCTCGGCAGATTATGGAAGTACTTCATGCCGTCCACGATGCCGAGTACGATAAGGCGCTTCACAACTACCAGACACAGACACGTCAATGGGAGAATTACATCCAAGGGAACCTTGATCTATTCGATCCTTACTCTCACCAGAACATAGTTGTCCTGTACTCTGTCATCTGCACCGAGACAAAAATCCCGTGTGCGGAGCCTGGACTGATTGCCATTGCCTTTTACGACGAGCACATGGACCAAAGTGGCAGCATGGATCCTGACTGTACTTTGGGCCAGTATATTGAAGATCTGTGTCTCAGCAAGGACTCGATCTGTACGTCGAATGGTTGTGACCGCAAAATGACTGAGCATCATCGGACTTATGTTCACGACGAATCACGCATCACAGTCTTCATCGAGCCCGCAGCCACAAAGCCAAAATTCGTGACTGACGACATTACGATGTGGAGTTACTGCAAGGTATGCAAGAGGGACTCTCCTACGATGCCCATGTCAGACAGCACATGGAAGTACTCTTTCGGGAAATACCTGGAGCTACTTTTCTGGAGCAAGGGCCTCAAACTCCACGAGAACACAGAGTGTTTCCACGACCACCACCGCGACCACATCAGGCTCTTCCAATTCCGCGAGACCTGGGTTCGTATCCATTATGACCCCATTGATTTGCTGGAGATTATCGTACCTCGAGCCCGAATCACTTGGAAAGTCGACAACGACTTGAAGTTGAAGAACCAAATCTTCAGTAAGATCGAGTCCAGGTGGATTCGTTTCATGACATCTGTCAAAGTCAGGATCAAGACGATTAGGGTCGATAGTGTCTTGCCAGAAAAGGCCGAGTCTTGCAGGATCGAGGTCGACAGGCTTACGAAAAAAGCTCAAGACGACCAGGTTGCCGTTATTCGAAGGCTTCAAGATGCTTATGTCAACTCCAAGTATTATGAAGTCATCCCCTTCAATCCGATCGTGAGGGAGATGCTTGAATACGCCGGAGAATGGGACACGGCGTTCAACCAATTTGAGGCCGATTTCTTGGCTGATAAGGACTTGCGGCAGTTGACGATGCTGCAGCTGAAGAAGATCTTCACAGACAATGAATCAAAAGAGTCCGTTGCGGCAACTGAAGGGAGCATATCGACTGTCGACACCGGAGAGCCTCCGTCACAGACGTTTTCGGACACCGACGACAAGACCACGCAGCCAACAGACTTCAGCGACCCTAGTCTGGGCGGAAGTACGGACTTGGCAGACGACAATGCCGCCGAGCAGGCTCAACAGGAAGATCTTGATGCACCAACCGAGCAAGTTTTGGAAAGAGTCGAGCCCCTCGACCTGGCAACCCCGACATCCCCATCCACGACAAGGCCACCCCTCTCCACAATCGGCACAAATACCGATGCGACCCCTTCAACAGAGCCAGCCAAGGAGCTAACTCCGACGGAGTCATTTGCAACCGGATTTGCAAACCATGTCCAGCTTGACAACCAGCCCGGTGGTGTCTCTCTTTCCGAGAAGATTGAGCAGCTGAGACGTGAACACCAGGCTCTAGGTGCAGAGGCTCCAACGTCTGACCACGTCCCCGAAACCCCCCGGGCGGAACGCGGATCATCCCGTAGAGCGGGAATGGCAGTGTCACCGCCCATGATTCGAGCAGCTTCACAGCCCATCCACACTTTGAAAAAGGTGCAGTCAGGCATTGGGAAGTCGATGCTTCAAAAAGATCCTAAAACACTGGCTGAAGCTTCTGAAACGGACTCTTCTTTCAAGGTCGACAAGAAGCTCTCCGAGCGACTAGGCCTGGGAGGTGTGCGAGGCCACAAGAAGACGGCTCAATCGTCAATCCCCCGATTCGTTCACAAGAAGAAGGAGTCCAAGGTTTTTGCCATTGCCAAGCATTTCGAGCAACTCAGTCGCGAGTTCGAGAAAGAAAGGATTCGAGAAGACAAGAAGAAGCGCGCTGCACGTCAGCCACGTGCCTTCCTACCACGCACATCGACCAAGCCCATTGTAGAGGTTTATGACGATGTCGACGATGCCGTGCAGGAGCTTGAGCCATCAGACTACGAGGGCCCAGACGAAGGTGGCAACGACTTCGAGAGCAGCGCAACGACGCCCATGCTCAGGACTGCGCAGACGGCACCTGTGACGCCAGCCGCAAGGTTGGACGTATCGGAGCCGTCGCTCGAGAAGACGCCTCCAGTTCCACATGACGATGGGCACACCGGTGGCGAGACGGACGACACTGGCACTGTCAATCACAGTGTAGGGGGGTCTGATGAAGAGTGCGGAGGGAGTGATAATGAGCGAAGCCTGGACGACATTCTACCTGACGTTAAAGAGCTGGCAGATGCTCTAGAGCCCAGCACAGACATTCCCCTCGAACTGCCCAAGCACCAGAAGAAGAGCTTGATGAAGCTCCTCACCAACTTTTGGGCTGAACGCTCTGCAAGTGGCTGGCCAATTCTCGATTATCCCGTCAACCCTAGTGATCACATCTTCATCGACTCAGATGTAATTGTTAGAGAAGACGAACCCAGCTCTGTTATTGCCTTTGCCATGAGCTCGGATGACTACCTAGGCAAGCTCGCCGATATCCGCAAGCAATGGCAGATCGCCATTCAGAAGGGCTACGAGGCAGGCAGTACTGATGCCAAGTCATCGGGCATATCGGACACGGGCGGAGAGTTTGTCGAGGCCGACCTGGAGAAGAGCCTGCTCAGGGCCACGGGCACGCATCTGAAGTACCAGTTCAAGGAAGGTACGGCCACGATGATGTGCAAGATTTTCTACGCCGAACAGTTTGATGCGTTGCGGCGCAAGTGCGGCGCGTCAGATCGCATCGTTGAGTCGCTGTCTCGCTGCCTCAAGTGGGATTCAAAGGGCGGCAAGACAAAATCCGTGTTTCTCAAGACGCTCGACGACCGCCTCGTGTGCAAGGCCCTGTCTCCGATCGAAACGGCAGCCTTCCTGCGGTTTGCGCCAGCGTACTTCGGCATCATGGCAGAAGCGCTCTTCCACGATCTGCCGTCCGTCATTGCGAAGATGCTGGGATTCTTCCAGATCATCATCAAGAACCCAGTGACAGGTGTCGAGATCAAGTTGGATCTGCTGGTCATGGAAAACCTGTTTTATGACCGCGCGCCAAGTCGGATCTTTGATCTCAAGGGGTCCATGCGCAATCGCAAAATTCAATCGACAGGCGAGCAGAACGAGGTCCTGCTGGACGAGAACATGGTTGAGTTCATATACGAATCACCCCTGTTCGCGCGAGAGCACTCGAAGAAACTCCTCCGCGCGTCCGTGTGGAACGACACGCTGTTCCTTGCGCGGCAGAACGTCATGGACTACTCGCTGATGGTTGCCGTTGACGAGGTCAAGAAGGAACTCGTCGTCGGCATTATCGACTGCATCCGCACGTACACCTGGGACAAGAAACTGGAGAGTTGGATCAAGGATCGCGGGTTCGTGGGTGGAGGACGGAATCGTCCCACTGTGACGAGCCCGAAGGAATACAAGTCGCGATTCCGAGAGGCCATGGCGAGGTATGTCGACCCGACGACGGCTCGGTCATGATCTGGCGTGCTAACTGGTGATATAGGTACATCTTGCAAGCACCCAATTGCTGGCACCAGTTTGGGGCACCGCATCTGGCCAACACGGTCCGGCCACGGTTTGAGAACGACGGCAACCCAGAGTAGGAGCTGACTGGTGGCCCTGATGACGACCGGAGAATGAGTGAGATGCTGTTGGCGGCACAAATCACGGCCAGCGACGAGTTATTTCAGTGAAGGCGTTTAGCATAGCAAATGGACTGGCGGTTCGGTACAGGGCATGGGCGGCGTGGGAGTTGGACCCGGACAAGAGCAATGTTGCTCACAATGGTAACTGTGGCAGCCATACATAATTCTGTCGTTTCAGCTGTTTGATGAAGAATGTGATGGATTACGAAGACCTTTTTCGAAAAAGGTCAGCTCTCCACAGCCCACCTGTCGAATACGGAGAATGTGAATTCCTAGTATTTGTATTGACCAGATTTGCGAAGACAAGTCAGGGCGTCTCAATGATGGAGGTTGCTCAGAGGCAGCCCCCTTTCAGCCTGCGGTTGTTGTCGTTGACAGGCACAGCCGATGGTGAGAAGGGACCCACTAAAGTTCAACCTCAACTTCAACCTCACTCCATCATCACACCTATCTCACCAACCCGACTTACTCACAGTCCTTCGAGCCACTGCGCGCTCTTTCTCTTCTCGGTCTGTCTCGTCTTTTCAGGAGTACCTCATGTCAGTAGATCTCAACTGGGAGACCCTCACGTCGGGCCCGGACGGCGAGGCGCTCGCGCTTCGCATCCGCGATTTCATCCACGAGAAGTTCCAGGCAGTCCAGCTGCCGCGCTTCATCAAGTCAGTGACGGTTCACGACTTTGAGTTCGGCTCCATACCTCCGAAGCTCGAGCTCAAAGACATTACCGACCCTTTACCAGACTTTTACGAGGAGAATGAAGATTATGACGACGACGATTCAGACGATGGCCAGGACAATGATGCAGCGGAGGAGCTGAGAGCGGCGGCGGCAAGGAGACACCAAAACCAGCACGAGAGCCACCAGCGCGACGGCAGCGCGCATCTTCCTTCGCGATTCCACAACCACGGCGCGAGCTCGCCTTCGCGGGGCCTCATGGCCGGCGACCTCACGAGCCCCTTTCTCGGCGTTTCGACGCCAGGCATCCTCAGCGGCGCCTCCAATCTGCACTACTTTCAAAGTCACCTCGGCTCCGGCTGGTCAGGCACCCACACACCTTTGGCCGCCGTCGCTGGAGGTGGCAACAGCTGGATGGACGCCTCGGCCGTCTCCTCGCCAGGGCCCTCCCCGCTCCGCGGCACCCCGACCTACCCCAGCCACAGCCGCAACCCGTCCCAGTCCTCCGTCCTGTCCGACATGACACCGGCCTTTGCGCCGCTGACGCCGCAGAACCCCCATCCTCTGTCGTCCGCAAACCACTTTTTGCGCGAGAAGTCGTCCGTCTCGACCCTGGCGCCCACATCCGTCGGCACGTCCCGCCCCCCGACGCGCGACCCTGCCTGCGCCATCGACGAAGAGGGTGACGACGGGGGCGACGGCCAGCAGCAGCAGCAGCAGTCCTCGCCGCCGTCAGGCGAGGCCGACCACCCGCCGCCTCGGTTCCGCGAGCCCCGGCCCGACGACCTGCAGGCCGTCTTCCGCATCCGCTACGCCGGCGACGTGCGGCTGCGCCTCACGGCCGAGATACTGCTCGACTACCCGATGCCCAGCTTTGTCGGGATCCCCGTGCAGCTCTCCGTCACGGGGCTGACCTTTGACGGCGTGGGCGTCACGGCGCACATACGCAAGCGGCTGCACTTTTGCTTCCTGAGCCCCGAGGACGCCATCACGGCCGTGGGGCTGCCGGAGGAGGAGGATGACGGTGACGACGGTGACGACGACCACGGGCACGCCGGGCGCGGCGCGGCGGGTGAGAAGAGGCGATTCGGGGGTCTACTGCAAGAGATACGGGTCGAGAGCGAGATTGGGCTGCGCGAGAGCGGCAAGCAGAGCCTCAAGAACGTGGGCAAGGTGGAGAGGTTTGTGCTGGAGCAGGTGAGGAGGATATTCGAAAACGAATTCGTGTATCCCAGCTTCTGGACCTTTCTCGTCTAGGCCGCCCCCCTGGTCACGAGTGCAGTGGTCGATTCTTCGAGACGCAGAACGGCATGTATATGGCAGCTACGCTCAGTGGAGTGATGGAGAAATGGAGGGCGCAATTGATAGCCGTGCCCGCTCTATGTAGCTAATCTATGTCAGGGTGCTCTTGAAGCCCTGGTACGCCTGCTGAATATCCATCTCAATCTCGCGCGCCTGCTCGTCGCTCAGCTCGTCGGTGGCCTTCATCTGATTCAGCGTGATGAGCCACTGGACAATCTTGCCGCGGTTGTCAAAGTCGCGGTCGGTGACCTTGTTGACGGACTGGATGACGTCGGAGAGCAGCGGGTGGAGCTGGTCCTTGCTCAACAGGCCGAGCTTGACGGCGTCGAGGAAGGTGATGAACTCCTGCGTCGCCTCGAGAATGAGGGCGCCGCTCGTCGTGTTGCCGGGCGCCGGGGCCTGCGCGGGTGCCGAGCCAGAGGAGGCGGTCACGGTCGTCGAGGGCATGCCGACGCGGATGCGCTCTGTTGCGCGGGGGACTTCGAGCTGCAAAGAGGAGGAACAAGACATGTCAGCCGTGTTTTTTTTTTCTTTTCGTGGAGAGACGACCAGCATGATACAGGGGAGCAGGAGAGTCAGGGTACATACATCCCATTCGGCCTTGAATTCTTCGAGCCCGACAAAAGCAGTGGCGACCGTCTCGTCGGTCAGGATGGACTTGTACTGCTTCAGCGAGCGTTCGCAGATCTCCGTGTAGTCGGCCTCGGGGATGGCATCTTTGAGGAAAGCCTTCTCGAGCTCGTCGAGGGTGACGATGATGCTGAAGATCTCGGCGAGGGAGTCTTGAAGGTCGCGCTCGGCACGTGTCTCGGTCAGCTTGACTTCCTGGAAGATGTTAGATCCATCGCGACTGGCGCAGACTCGGACCAGAGGAATCTTGGCCGTTTTGGAGGGGGGGAAACATACCTCATCGAGGTTGATTGTGGCAGAGAGGGTGGTGTTCGGGATGTAGCTATGCGGCGTCGGCGCATAGGCTTGCCGGGGGTTCATGTTTGCGGCTCGAGTTGTATCCTCAGGCGCGTCATGGTGAGGTGGCCGAAGAAGGGAAGCTCGGTATGATGACCCTCGATGGTGTCTCGGGGTGCTGGTGCCGGTGCTGCTGCCTGGGCAAGCCAGGTATGGACTGAAGGAGGAGGGGGGGAGAGATCTTGGATGTTGGTTGCACCAACGTCACGAGGGGCAGCGAGGAGAAGCACAGCTACAGCGGCTTTCCAGCGCACTGGACCGCTGAGGCCACTGAGAGGAGTGACCCCGCCTGCGCCGAGCTCAGAGCTCGAGGGCCCGCACGCGCGCTTATCGTTATCGATAAGTTCATGCTCGTCCAAACTGAGCCAACGCCCAAAAAGAGGCTCCTTATCGTTATCGCGAAGAAAAAAAATGAACTTGGTCCGCTGCTTGTCCCGCCAATTGCCTAGACAGCCAGCCTCGATCGACTCCATCGACTGTCGCAGCTCGAACACGACTACCACGCTTCGAGCAAGCACCAGTCGCCCATCATGCCTCCCTCGAAGAAGAAGCTCAAGGCCACGAAAAAGTTTGAGAAGAACCACCTCTCGGGCGTCCTGAAGAAGCGCAAGGAGGACGCAAAGGTCAAGCAGCGGTACGCTCTCCAGGCGAAAAAGGCTGGCAAGAAGACGAGGGAAGATGCGAGCTTTTTCAAAGGCCCCAAGGAGGAGGGCGCCCCCAAGCCCCATTCGAACAAGAAGGATGCCAACGTCAGCGCCATGAGCGTTGACGACTTCTTCAAGGGCGGCTTTGAGGACATTATCGACAAGGCGCCCAAGGGCGGCAAGCTGGGCAAGAGGAAACGCGATGCGCCCAACGGAAAGGCCAAGGCGCCCAAGGCCGACGATGATGACGAGGAGCAGGCAGGCTCCGAGGACGAGGAAATGTCTGACATGTCCCTGGAGGACCAGCCCGTTGTCAGCGACAGCGAGGACGGTGCTGACGACAGCGACATGGAGCTGGACGCCGAGGACGGCGAGATGAGCAAAAAGGCCATGGACGACCTCGCCAAGAAGGATCCTTCGTTCTACAAGTTCCTCAAGGAGCACGACCCCGAGGCCCTCGACTTTGACGAGAACGCCGACATGGCCGAGATTGACGACCTGAGCGCCGGCAGCGACGCCTCGGATGACGACCAGCCCAAGAAGAAGCGTAAGAAGGACAGCAAGAAGAAGAAGAAGAACAAGAAGGACGAGTCTGAAGACGACGAGACGACAGCAGCTGACAACGAGCTCACGCGCGAAATGGTTGCCAAGTGGAAGGAGCTCATTGTCGAGAAGAAGTCGCTGCGTGCTGCTCGCCAGGTCGTCCTGGCCTTCAAGTGCGCCGCGCATCTGAACGAGGACGATGCCGAGGATGGCAAAAACAACCGCTACACCATCAACAGCCCCCAGGTCTTCCACGACATTCTCATCGTCGCCCTGCGCCAGATCCCCGAGGTCATCGCCCACCACCTGCCCTCGAAGGAGTCGGCTGCCGGCAAGGTCTACGTTTCCACCGAGACGAAGAAGTTCCAGACGCTGTCCATCATGCTCAAGACGTACACAGCCTCCATCATCCACCTCCTCGGCACGCTGTCCGACGACGCGACCCTCAAGCTGACGATTGGTGCTCTCGAGCCCCTTCTCCCCTATCTGCTCTCGTTCCGCAAGCTGCTCAAGGCGCTCATCAAGTGCGTCGTCAACTTCTGGGCGCGGCCCGCCTCCTCCGAGGCCACGCGCATCACCGCCTTCCTCGTCCTGCGCAAGCTCATGGTCATCGGCGACGCCGGCCTCCGCGAGGTCGTCCTCAAGGCCGTCTACCAGGGTCTCGTTCAAGGCTCCCGGGTCACCAACGCCAACACCATTCAGGGCATCAACCTCATGAAGAACTCGGCGGCCGAGCTCTGGGGCATCGACCAAAACGTCGGCTACACGACGGCCTTTACCTTTATCCGCCAGCTCGCCATCCACCTCCGCAACAGCATCGTCAACAACAAGGACGCCGCCTTCAAGGTCGTCTACAACTGGCAGTACACGCACTCGCTCGACTTCTGGTCCACCATGCTCGCCCAGCACTGCACGCCGCTGACCGAGGCCGAGGCCGGCAAGCCGTCGCAGCTCAAGCTTCTCGTCTACCCTCTCGTCCAGGTGACCCTGGGCGCCGCGCGCCTCATCCCGACGGCGACCTTCTTCCCTCTCCGCTTCCACCTCATCCGCTCGCTGCTGCGCATCTCGCGCGCCACCAACACGTACATCCCGCTGGCCGCTCCCATCCTCGAGGTGCTCGAGTCGGCCGAGATGAAGCGCGCCCCCAAGGCGGCGTCGCTCAAGCCGCTCGACTTCCGCGTCGCCTTCAAGGCGCCCAAGGCCTACCTCCGCACGCGCGTCTACCAGGACGGCGTCGGCGAGCAGGTCGTCGAGCTGTTTGCCGACTTCTTCGCGCTCTGGGCCAAGAACATTGCCTTCCCCGAGATGGCCCTCCCCGTCGTCATCCAGCTCAAGCGCTGGCTCAAGCAGGCGCGCCGCGGCGACAAGGGCGCCAGCTCGAAGAAGGCCCAGCGCGGCAACCAGAACGGCAAGCTCGGCAGCGCCCTTGTGCTGCTCGTGCAGAAGGTCGAGGCCAATGCCAAGTTTATCGAGCAGCGCCGTGCGCAGGTCGACTTTGCGCCCAAGGACCGCGCCCAGGTCGACAACTTCCTGCGCGACCTCGAGTGGGAGAAGACGCCGATCGGGGCGTTTGTCGCCGTGCAGCGCAAGCTGCGGGCGGAGAAGCTCAAGATGATGGAGGAGGCGAGGCGGGAGGACGATAGGCGGAGGAAAGAGGAGAGGGGTGACGTTGACGAGCCCGAGGAAGACGAGGAGGAGGAGGAGGATGAGGAGGAGTATGCGGATGAGCTGATGGACGACGAGGAGGAGGAGGACGACGATGAGTAGGCCTGATTCTCGACGAGGATGTATCGTTTAGATGTCTTGTTCCCGGTATACCTCTGGCGTTTAATCGTGTACCTTTTTTCATGACGCTGTTTTTGACCTGGGCTGTATTGGTTTGAAGCTATGAAGCTATCGATTGTTCATGCGAAGCCACTCATAGGGTCTTGTTCGACATTATGCACTTGGTTGGCTCATTGAATCATCAGCCAGCTGCCAACTGTCAAACGACTTCTTGTGCCTCCATCATTCACCACGGTGTTGCACCGCCAGCATCAGGGGTGTCACATGCTGTAGGGCCCCTGAGGATCCGCCTAAATTTACCTACTTTTAGCGCCGCCTTAAGGCTGTGCTCACAGCCTTCGGCCCTCGTCATTGATGTGACGTAGAGAGCCGCCGCATACTGTGCCGCAGCTCAAATGGGAAGGCAAGGCAACCTCTCTCACATCATCCAACAGTCACTGGCGGCCAACAGCCTGGCCTGATATCCCGCACATCATCTCCCACCTGCCATTCTATCTCAACGGCTACATTCCTGGAAGCTTCAAGTGGCAGATCAGTCTGGTACACAGACAAGCCTCCAAGCGCCTGGCATCAAGCAGCACCCCACCATGGCACCTCTGGCTGCGGATCCCCGCCAGATCCTGGTCGTCCTCGATGACACCAGGCGGCGCCAGTTCTACACGCTTATTGAAGATATCATGAAACTCATGAGATCAGAAATAGATCCCCACGGCGATGATCGACACGATGGAGGTTGGCCGTCGGTCGCCCAGTGGGAGCAGCAGCAGAAGCAGCGCAAGCTGGCAGGCCGGGACGCATCGGAGCTCTCCTCCATCCGACAAGATGCCCTCGAGCACTTTGGCGACTGGCGCCGGGGGATTCTGAAGAAGCTCAAAGAGATCACGTCCGCCAAGGAGGACAAGAAGGTGCTCGAGGCCCGCAAGAAGCGCCAGGACGAGGTCGCCAAGATGAAGGCCGCGTCGTCTGGCGACGAAGAAGACCCCATCACCCTCGGCGACACGGAGAACTCGTCCACGACGAACGCCAAGGACGTGGCCACTTTTCAGAAGCACTACCAGCCGGTGCCTACGAACCTCGCCGCCCTGCCGGTCGAGGACAGGCGCGAGCTGCTGAGCTCGATGCTGCTGGTCGTGTTGTCGACGGGCAACTACGCGGCCCACTCGCGCGTGCTTGTTCTGCACCTTGCGTCGTCGTTTGGTCTTCCTCTCGCCGTGCTCATCACGGAGGAGACGGAGATTGCCAAGTTTCTCGTCGAAGCCTCTACCGCCAAGGGCGAGGACGGAACCAGCAGCAAGAACGCCGCTGCGGCGTCGGCCATGTCTGGCGAGGCTGAGGCGACGAAGCGGCGTCAGGATAATCAGTCCTCTCGCTTTTGGAAAGTCGGTCTGGCGTCCGTGGCTGGCGCCGCCGTCATTGGTGTCACGGGAGGTCTCGCAGCCCCTGCCGTCGCGGGAGTGATCGGCGGCATCATGGGCAGCGTCGGACTCGGCGGTGTGGCGTCCTTCCTGGGCATTTTCTGGGCCAACGGTGCGCTCGTCGGTGCTCTGTTTGGTGCCTACGGTGCCAAAATGACGGGTGAGATGATGGATCAGTACGCAAAGGAGGTGGAGGACTTCCGCTTCTTGCCCCTCAAGGAGGAATACGGACAAGATGCGAAAAAGGCGACATCAGACGAGAAGAAGACGCGCCGCCTGAGAGTCACGATCGGCATCAACGGATGGCTTGAGAATGAAGACGCCGTAACGAAGCCGTGGAAGGTCCTGGGCGACGAGTCGGAGGTCTTCGCCCTGCGATATGAGATGAAGGCTCTCATTGCTTTGGGTGCCTCGCTCGAGGACCTGGTCAAGAGCTACGCCTGGAAGTACGTCAAGCTGGAGATTCTCAAGAACACCGTTCTCGTGTCGCTTTCGGCCGTCCTCTGGCCTGCCTACCTTCTCGGCACAGCCTCCAACATTGACAACCCTTATCACCTTGCGCGCAATCGCTCTGAAAAGGCAGGCCGTGTGCTCGCGGATGCCCTCATCAACCGCGCGCAGGGCGAGCGGCCTGTCACCCTGATCGGGTACTCTCTGGGCGCCCGCGCCATTCACTCGTGCCTCAAGACGCTGGCCCAGCGACGAGCCTTTGGTCTTGTCGACTCGGTCGTGCTCATCGGCGCCCCGACGCCGTCCGACACTGAGCAGTGGCAGATTCTCCGGGCCGTGGTCGCGGGCCGCATCTTCAACGTCTACTCGGAGAACGACTACATCCTGGGCTTCATGTACCGGGCCACATCGCTGCAACTCGGCGTCGCGGGCCTGCAGCCCATCGAGGGCGTCGACGGCATCGAGACCCTGGATCTCAGCAAAGACGTCGCGGGCCACCTCCGCTACCCGGACCTGATCGCGCAGGTCTTGACCAAGTGCGGCTTCCCCGACGTCAAGGACGGCGAGGGCGAGATTGAGCGAGACGAAGACATTGAGCGCGCCAAGCAGGCGCAGCCGGACGACATGCCTGAGGAGGCGCGCGCCATCCAGGGCGAGAAGCCCAAGACTGGTGGTGGTGGTGGTGAGCAGGACGCGGAGGAGGACGAGCCGTCGCCCCCTCTGCCTCCGAGGAGGGAGGCCGAGACGGGCGCCGGCGGGGCGACGTCGCCGCCTCCGTGGGCTTCGGACAGGAAAGAAGACCCTCTCAACTTGGGCGCGTTGGGGACGAAACACGTGGAGCCACTCGCGGAGCAGGACTTGCCCGAGCGGCCCAAGCCTTGATTCTTGACGATGGGGACATGCATGTTTGGGGTGACAGGGGCATGAGCGATGACATGTATATATGCCTACCTTGCTTGGCCCAAGGTAGTTAAGTTCATGGTTCATGGTCGAGGAAAGTTCCGGCAAATGAGATGATGCACTATTGACTCTGCCCCGTTCTATTTACAGTCATGGTCTTCGTACGATGTGGTCAAGGCAAAAGGCCAATCTCGACATGGGAGCGCAGCAAGAAGTCTGCACCTTGACTCCAGCCCCACGGTTGTGGCCACTCCAGCCGACGATTGTGGCTAGTGATATCCTCTCTAGGCCATGGCATGACAAACACTCGTCCTGGGTCGGCTACTCTAGTTGATAAAGAACCAACGCGCGCTCCGGACGTGGCGTGCTGCAGGGTCCATAGGAAAACACAGGCTGATTTAGTCGGTGCGAGGGGAGGGGGAGGGCGGGTAGGCAACGCGGTTGGTCGTCAGCGGTTGTGCGGTCTGGAGCGAACGAAGGTGTTTGGGGGGAGCATCACAACGACAGCCACCCCCAAAGGGTGGGCGGAGGATAAAAGCCTTCCGAACCCAAACAAAAAAATAGAAAAGGGCGGGGTTACCCCATACGAATCGGCGGGGCTTCGCACATTTGGCTCATTCCTTGCTGTACCTCGCCCCATTTCTACCTCTTTCATGAGATGCATTCGATGAGAACCCCGGAGAGGGGGTTTTTCGGACGATCCCGTGGCCCAGGCCCTCGGCGAGGCTGTTCTGGTGGATGGGCACCATGTAGTCTGTCTGTTCAGTGAATCGGTCACCATCTTGCCCGTTTCCATCGCAGGAGGCATTTCCATCACAGGAGGCATTTCCATCACAGGAGGCATTCCCATCACAGGAGGCACTTGTACCGCTCTACCGTCTCGCCGCCACCGTCTCGCCGCCACCTGAGGGGCCTTGGGGGGCCTTGGGGGCTCCTCCACAGAGTCTCGTTTCCCCCTCTGAGCACGTCGACGTCTGCCAGCGGACACCCCCTACCGGATAGACGCCAGCAGCCTTGGCGGGGCCGCTCCACTGGACAGCGCTGGACGACGGGACACAGGGGGTGCCCGGTGCTTGGTGCCCGGTGCTTGGTGCCCGGTGCTTGGTACCCGGTACAACGCCTGCCAGGTGCCTAGGTACCTGCCTGCCTGCCTCGTAGTTCGTTGTACAACTAGCCGACCCCGCTGCTGGGTGCGGAGGGCAGTCGCAGGTCAGGTCGGTAAAAGGATTGGTAAGTACCTACCTAGGTACCTAGGTAGGTAAGCTTGGTGAGGTAGAGACAGGTACGTAGGTACCCAGGTACATGAGCAGCAGCAGCGGGCATGACAGACAGACACAGGCTTAACAGGGCCCCCTCGCCCACCGAGGGACAGGGAGCACGGGAAAGAAGGGTCGGGTCCAGGGACTGGGACTGGGACTGGGACTGGGACTGGGACGAGGAAGGACTGGGAATGGGATTCCCATTTCGTGAGACGCCCCTTCCGTGTCTGTTCATCCGCCACTTCATTCTTTTTCCTTCCATGCGAACGATCCCCTCAGACAGCACCACGTCGTCGTTTCCTTCTGTTTCCCTTCTTCTTCTTCTGCTTCGTCTTGTTCTTCCTCCCTCTCTCTGCCTGTGCATCTCGTCTCCCTGTGCATCTCGTCTCCCACCGAACCTGACTCGGTCTCGTCGCCCGTCCTGATCGTCCCAACGAACGAACCATCTTCCTCGCCCAACCAAGAGATCTACCCGACACACACCGAGCCGGACCCTCTCCTGTACGACCTACCGTCTCAGGAGTAAGTCAGGTCGCGCCCAAGCCGCCGCACCTCCGCCCTTTGTCCGCCTGACCAACAGAGTCTTTTCCAACCCAGAAGCCAGACACACCCCCAAAAAGACCAACAACACTGGCCAGACGAAGATCCCTACTCCACACAACACCACCAAGTGTGGTTGGTTTTTCGCCCTTGCCGCCGAACGGAAGGAAGAAAAAAACTGGTCATCGTCAACCACATTTCCGCCCACCGCCCGCCTCAAGCAGCCCACCGACTTTCCGCTCCCCCATCCCGCTTCGGTGTATACCGAGGGTGGCCTACACGCCCCTCGGACCCGCCGACCGTTCCCCTTCTCTTTGATATACAGCCACGAGCCACGAGCCCCGAATCCGACCCTTGACAAACATCCTCGTTGCCGTCAACCGCCAAGATGAAGGGCCGCGCCGTCGACCAGCTCGTTTTCGAGTCCATGTTCTCCAAGTCGAGAGCCGGCGACCCCCCCAACTTTCATGCCTTTCTCCAGCGCACCCTCATTCTCGAGGTTCGCTCCGAAGTCCATGCCTTCTTCGGCCACCTCGACACCCAGGAGGCCAAGTATCCTGGCCTCGACTACTGCAACCCCGTGCACCGCATCCGACTGAGCAGGTGGCCCTGGCACCGTCGCCTCTTCCGCGCCTTTGACAGCCTGCGCCTCACGCCCAACGAGATCGCCAACCTGACCAAATGGGAGGGCACAAAATGGGCCAAGGAGCGCTACGAGAAGGAGCAGGGCATCACAATCAGAGACACGGCCGCCGACGAGTTCTCCGAATGGGTCGAGCCTGAAGACCGTCCTCTGGCTCCCGCCAGCCGCGGCCGCACTGCAGAGACGGAGGCAGCATCCGAAGATGAGGACATGGAGGGCGAAGACACAGACGAGGAGATGGAGAGCGTGGGCACGGCCCTCAACGAGCGACTCAGGGAGCGCGTCGCTCGCCGAGAGGCAGGCGAGCACGCCACCGTCCTCGACGAGGAGTGGGAGCAGTGGCTCAAAAACGCCATCGAGTCTGGCGAGCTGCCCTTTGTCACGCCACAGACGATGCAGTCCACCAACTCTACCAACACGCCCATCATGCCGACAACCCTCTTCCCGCCTCGCATGCTGAGCGCAGCAAGGGCTGGCCAGTGGAGCGACATTCCCGACTTTCTTCACGACATGATTCAACGGAGCATCAGCGTTGAGACGACCGATCGCGAGGAGCCCCTCATGCCGCCTCTGACGCGCGCCCCTCGGCGTGGGCCGACCGACGAGCGTCGTCATCCTGGTGCGCCCTGGCTGCGACCATACTCCGGCCTGCGCTTGCCGGTTGGCGATGGCGTAACCCAGTCCTCTCCCGATCTCAACGCGCCGGTCGCGGCGGATCCTCCGGGAGCATAGGCTGCTCACCAGATCGCCGCCCAGTCGGTACAACGCGATGTCGTGCGGCAGTGGACAGACGAAGCCTGGACGGCGCTCTTCGACGGGCGCATGACGCTCGGGGTTTTCCTAGCCGGCGAATTTTGACGTTTGTGCGGCTCGGAAGGTGTCCTCGTATCCTCGTATACGCGAAGTGATCCCGCCCTCTTCTGACGTGTTTCTTCTTCGTTCCTGCTTTTTTTTCTTCTTTTTCTTCTTCTTGGACATGCATAATACACTTTCTGGACGGCTGCATGGGATGGTTTTGCGTTCATGGGCGTTCTGCGGGAGACAGCCACGGCTGCTCCCCTGGCGTTAAGGGCTTTTCCGTTATCTGGGGTTTTTCTTCCTTCCTTTATCGAGGCAATCGGAGGACGAGAAGAGGCCGGGTCAGTCAAAGAGGGCAGGTAACAGCCAGGCCCGAAACATGGCATGGCCTGTTCCTCAGGAGTGCGTCACGTACCTGTAGGTAGCACATTTTTGATTTGGATGCCCCCCCCCCCCAAAAGAAAGTCAATCAACTTCCGCAATCTGAACGTTTCCGTGCTGGCGGCATACTTGCCGTTCAATCTGTTGGGAAGAGATGTGATCGTTTGATATCATGTTTCATTGCTGGGTATCTACCTATGTCCTCTACCTCGAACCCAGTCCTCGTGCTCCTTTGTCGAAAGGGGGAGAGAAAAATAAATGCAGAATCCTCCAACGCCCCCGACGCCACCCACTTGTGTAAAAAAAAAATATAAAACGAGCCTCCTAAGGGCCCATCACGACAATTGCGCCGGGTTGGCTGTGATGAACGAGAGCTCAGGCCCCGCCTCGGCGGAGCACCTCTCCGAGGAGAGGCTCCCTGACGACAGGCCGGTCACTGTCGTGAACGACAGATCCGTGCCGTCGCTGTGCGACGTCTCCGTGGCTGTCGAAGAGGACGCCTCCGACGCGTCGAGGGAAGCGCTCCGCCTCGTGCGTGTCTTGCCCCGTTTAGCGGTCCCCGCCTGGCTCCCGCGTGATGAGCGGATCGCCTGTGCCTGACGACACTCGTCGGGCGGCGACACGAGGGCGCGCCGGCGTCGCCCGCTGCCGCCGCCGCCGCGGCGACTGCCGCGGGGCCTACCGCGTCCTCTGCCGCGTGCGCCGGTCCGCGTCATGGCGACGGAGCCCTCCTAAGGCTCGAGGTGCGACCACTCGGGGATGGCCTTGATCTGGGCCCACATGAACTTTTCGAGCTTGTTGGCCGACTTGGCGTACGGGGTCGTCTCGTTGTTGTACTTGCGGCAGTTGTCGAAGACGAGCTTGGCGTCGCGGGTAAAGTCCTCGGGCGTGGCGTACTGGTCGGCCTCGAGCTTGACCTCCATGGTGCTGAGGTCCATGGGCTCCTTGATGACGTCGTAGTAGTCGGCGACGTCGTCCTTGTTGACGGGGATGAGGAACGGCCAGGCCGAGGCGTGGTTCTGCATGTCGTTGAGCAGGTGGAGGAGCTGGTTGTAGTTGGGCCCGTGGCGGGGCTGGCGCGCGAGCTCGTCCATGGCCGGCGACCAGCCCGAGGCGCGGATGGCGGGCACCGCCGTCAGGGGGTCGATGGGCTTGACGCCGTTCTTCCACTCCTTGGGCGGCGCGTGCACAATGTGCGACTTGGAAAAGGCCCGGATCTTGGCCTGCACGCACTCCTTCTGCTTGAGCAGCATGCGGCCCATCTCGAGGTAGCGGATGCGCGGCAGCATCGAGCACTGCATGATCGTGCCGCCTTCGTAGTCCTTGATGTAGCCCATCCACACGGACCGCGGCAGCGTGATCTCCTTGGTGAACCCCTGCTTCTTGAAGTAGCCAATGGCGTAGTTGTCGGCATAGGTGAGGAAGTGCATGACGTCGCTCGTCGCCTTGACGTAGTCCTTGAGGTGCGACATGAGATGGGCGCCGTAGCCCTTGACCTGCTGGTCGCTGGAGATGGCGCAGAAGACAATCTCGGCAAACTGTCGGCCCTTGAAGGGGCGGTAGGTAATACCTCCCACGACTTCGAGGGGCTTCTTCACAATGGCGATCGACAGGTGCGTGCGGTCGTAGACGAGGCGGGCAATGTAATCCTTGGGCATCTTCGGGAGTTGTTTCTGGAAGATGCATTTGAGACCAGTGAGGATGATGAGGGACTCGCGCTCGTTATCGTTGTTGACAACACGAAACTCTATCTCGTTGTTGCGCTCTTCGATGACGGCGGGCTGGCGGGCAACGAGAGGTCGTCAGCATGGTCATGTTGCGTCGACGGCCAATGCAAACAAGGGATGCGCGTACCTTTTCGGGAAATGGGATGGGCTTCATGGCCACTTTGGGCTCGGGTTCCGGTTCGGCGGATTCATCGTGCTTGATGCGCTTCGAGGCCGCAGGCGAGGAGGGGTCCTCGGAGGCCTTGCGCTTGTTGTCTGTCAATGGCCACGAGTCAGCAAGAAGGACGCAAGGCTACCGCGAGGTGCAAGGCACAGAAATGGGCGCGTAGGCTTACTCTCCTCCTTCATTTTGGCGGCATCGGCCGACTGGCGTAATTTGTCGATGCGACAAGCGATACTCAGGCCGCCGTCGATGGACTCTCTGTCGCACTTGTGATGATGGTGGCTAGAACAACGTTGATGGGACGCGCTTGCCAGGGGCCGAGAATATGCCGACGCAGCGATCTGTGATGCACGGACGGCTTTGCTGGGCGACAACGACCAATCAGCTTGAGTAACCAGAAGCTCTGAATACCAAAAGATTTATTTTCCACCTCAAGAAGGTTCCTGACGGCAACGGTAGAAGGAAGACAATTCAGAATCTTGACGTGATCTTTGATTCAACCTTATGGAGTCCTGGAGCAAGAACCAGGCAAAATGTTTCGACGCCGGCAGGATTCGAACCTGCGCCCCCGAAAGGATAAGATTTCGAGTCTTACGTGTTAACCACTCCACCACAGCGCCTTGGATGATTCAGGGTGTTCTGCATCCATACAGATCGGCAGACGCAACATCACATACACCTCATCAGCATCTTCGAAGGCTCCTGCGAGAGAACCCTAATTAAAAGATTAATGAAGAGGGTTTGGACTACTAAGACTATCTTTCTTCTATTGAAGCTAGATCGGCGACCAGCGGCAGTACAAAGTCCTTTGCTCTTTGGGTGTCCAAGGAGGTACTTGGCCGTCATGTGGCAACAACCTCAGTTTCTACCATGCTGGATGGTGAAACCCCAGGCTATCACCTCAGTCAGTGATTGGATCAAGTAAGTGATTTATTCCGAAAGACTGCTTTCTCGCTGCTTAGAATACAGGCTATCAGTACAATGCTCCCATTCACCTGTGAATCATTATGTTCAAGTACAACGTGTTCTGCGACTGCACTGGTGATGTCGCGCTTTTGAAATTAGGTGATACACGCCAGTGTAGGTACACAGAAATGGAATCAGTAGCTTGGTTTTATTCACCTATAGATCTTGACGATCAACACCTTTTTGTGCACTCTCAAATCAAAGCACCTGACCAATATTTCTCAACCTCCATCTTCCATACAGTCGACAGTAACGCACAGGCCAAGTCGTGCGAGACGCTTATGCCCAAGCCTCACCACCAAGATGCAGATCAAAGGACCTCCCGTCTCATTTGAGATGACCAAGTTGGCATAGCCTCAACCGCTTCCTCCGCTCCATCCAGCCCCAACACAACCACAGCAGCCATGATCTCATGCTTCTGAACAGACTGTCAACCGCTACCGTCATGACACCCTTGCTCTGGGCAGCTTTTCAATTAAGGCGCTGTGGTGGAGTGGTTAACACGTAAGACTCGAAATCTTATCCTTTCGGGGGCGCAGGTTCGAATCCTGCCGGCGTCGAAATCTTTTGCCAATACCACCCATGTACATGAGATCGTAATGATCTTCTTTTGTTCCAGTCGATGAAGTGTTCGGTTGGCTGTCAAGTAGCAGATTCCGTGTGAGAAGGGTTGCCAGTCAAGCGTTTGCTGTTGCTCTGATGCACAAAGCTCCCGTCGCTATGATTAATTTTCATATTTTCAAACCCGTCAGCTTTGACTACCGGCTTGAGATTTTTTGATACAGGGACGGATTGTGCCGACCTTGTGCTCATGACTCTGTAAATGCGGCCTTGCCACCAGGCTTCGGATCTTTGCTTTGGAGATCCGCTGTTTATGCTGCCAGCCAGCCCTTTGCTATACGTGCCCACCTTGCTCTTGTACGAAATAAGTCCATCTTGTTCACTATGCTTCCGACTTGGCCCCTACGTGTACGAGTGCTTTCAACCCAACAAAGCGCAAGCCAAAAAAACCCAAGGACCAGAGGAAAAAGACACTGCTTGAGGCTTGCACTGTTCATGTTCGTAGGTGCCTTACCATGAGGGCATGTTTGTCATGAATAGAACATCTGGGGTCTGCATACGCACGGACCATCCTCAACACGTGATGGTCGAGTGGAAGGACAGCTTGGAGCTTCTGTGAGCTTCAACCACGCAACCTGTTGATGATCACAAACCAAAAAGCCACACCAGCCGACAACGCCAGACTTCCCCACGAAGAAACTCAAGCTGAAAACGATCAGCTACCATCCAATCGCGATATCTCGACCCATGGACTCTTCGCTCCCCCAAGTTTGGCAGGCTGCCGGCGTCAACGGCGCCTTCCTCCCCGCCATCGGAAAGAACTCCCAGTTCTACGTCGCCTTTGCACTTCTGTTGACGGGGCTCTCCTTGACTGGTGCTTTCGCCCTGAGTATGTCCTGATGGTCTCTGTAAAGCTGAGACTTTTCACTGATCATTCCATATTAGACCGCTCCTTTATCAACATCCCCGCCCTGGGAGTCCCGGCCTCAGCTGCCATTGCGTACGTGCTCCCTCTCGTGTACTGCCCCGATGGAACCAATATATCCTGACCATATCTCAGCTTCGGAACGGTCTACATGTTCTGCGCGGTCGGAGTTTACGTCTGAGATACCCAAAAGAAACACCCCACTTTCCTA